GACTCCCATATTTTCATGATTTTTCAATTATTTACAATATTGATGTAATTTTTCTGTGTATGTCCATTGTACGATTTTTTGTTTGCTTTGATTTCAGTGGCATCCACTGATGTACTATACATTTTTTTGTTTTGACTTCAGTGACATCCACTGATGCATTTTTAATTGCATATTGATAATGTTGCAGATGTATTGTGCAAATGTATACTAGGTCATGGAATTTTTGCCATTGGTTATGACCCCTAATTTGGTGGGATGTAGGATAGTTCAGAGGGTTCAATAGGCAGTGATCTATTTTTATTACTTGGTTGTCGGGACGTCAACAGATTTAGTATGGGAATGTGTAACAGGCTGGTGACAGAAGGTAGATTTCTGGCCTGTTTATTTTAGTTTAACAACCTATAGCTGCTGGCACTGGCCAGGTGGGTCAGTGGAACTCTTCAGTATTGTCCAGCACGTCACGTGAGTCGTGGAAGGTGATAAAAGGCCTGATTCTGTTAACAGTTTCCCTTTCCAGCGATAGCGGTAACAGAGGCTAGAAGCCCTTCCGATTTGTCGCCCAAACCGTACACGGTTAAAGCGCAAATTAGGTTCAGACTGCATAACGGTACTACCTGGTCGTTGGTCTGCTAGTAGTTGTCAGTATTTTGTTATTCATTGATTAACTAGTTGCTTGGTTAGTTCTACTGGTCTGCTTATGTACGTTCAGTTAGTTCTTTAGTATATTTAGTTTTTGGAGTGTTGTCAAGAATTATTGTTATGTCATCAACAAATAAAGTTTCTGTATTCGTCAACTTACATTCGTGTTATTTTAGTTAGTATGTCTAGGTTTTACTGTTAAACTATATTAGACCCCACACAGAAGATTTGCTGCCAGGGTGAGATACTTTGATTTTACCCCCGCCTAAACGAACTTTCTTTTTCTCTTTTCTTTTCTTGCTACTGAGGCAGCTTACGGTTGGGTTTAGCTCGCCACGCGACATTGTTGAGAGCTCTTGTAGGTTCGGAGTCGAGATTTTAAGGAGTAGATTTCCATATTATCCTTAGTTATCTCTTCTCTTTCCCTTCATCACAAGTTATCCCCTCCTCTGCATTTGCCTCTAGTATGCCGGTGTTGGTGGCTTCCTGGTTGATTTGATTATTCTCTTCTTCCGTTGAAAAGAGTCTGTTCCGCAGGTTGTTTTTCACTTGCACCTTCCTTGGCTAGTTTTTCGTTGCTTTTGTTTTTGGGATCTCCACAGTGGGATGGTATTCATTGTATAGTTACCTGGCACTTGTTGCCTAGTTTCGGGAGAGGTTTCTGTATACCAGATAACTTTTCCATATTAGAGTGCCTGAAGAACCGCTCTAGCCTCTGTCAGGAGTACCACGGGTTGTGAAATATGACATATATTTAGAAATTTCTCTCCTGCAATTTTTTTTTTTTCTGCTATCTATAGTTGTGACATTGCTTTTCTCTTGGTATTTTGGCTGTAAATCGGTATTTTGGATATTCAATGTATACTCCTTCTCCTCCATTTCTGCTATCTTTCTGTGCTGTCCTATCCGTGTAGACACCAACCCCCCCCCCCACACACCCCCCCTCCCAACCACCTGTGGGTATTCATCATCGAGTAGACTGAGGGTGACTGATTTAGGTTGCAACTGTTTTATTCTTCCTTGTCAATATTTCTTTCACTTCTGTCTGTATGTGTGTTTTTCAATGAATTTAATTATAGGCGTTGTTCCAATAGCTCTTGTAATTTTCTTCTTTTATTCCCCCTCTCCCTGTTCACTGTCTTTCTCAGACATCTAATTTTATTTCGTGTTCTGTAGCCAGTGTTCAAGTCTGACAGTGACAATATACCCTTGACATGAAGACTGTATTTATAATTGGTTTTGTTTATCTCTACTGGGATAGCCACCTTCTTCAAAACTGATACGTGCCGTTGTTGGTTTGTTGGGTTCTTGTTTCAAGCTTCTGCAATCCTATGTACACATGCCCCAAGTATGTAAAGTGTTGAACATGCTTTAAACTTCCATCTTTTATCTTTATGTCCATTATGTCTGAGGATGCAGTCACATAGTTGGCTTACATGGTTCTGTAGGTGATTAACTTGATTGTGGAACAGACGTCGGTCGTTGAAATCTTCATGTTCATTCCCAACTGGTGACGTTTTGTTGATATTGTCCATGAATCTCCTGCCTGCTCTGTATGATTGATAAGCCAAAGAAGTTCACTGTCTGTGACGTCCTATTTCTATGCGCATTGTTTGTGTTAGTTGTTACAGTTCACAGTGCCCGCCTTCTTGATGGGTGTACGTTTATATGTTTGTTGTGCATACTTGTGTTTCTGTAACAGACGGAAAATATAAACAAAGATCAGACGTGCAAGCTTGACAAGGGCGAACTGAGTGCAGCCCCTTGTGCAACCAAGAATATACTTTACTACTGGCTTCAAGTGCAGCCCCGTGTGCAACCAAGAATATACTTTACTACTGGCTTCAAGTGCAGCCCCGTGTGCAACCAAGAATATACTTTACTACTGGCTTCAAGTGCAGCCCCTTGTGCAACCAAGAATATACTTTACTACTGGCTTCAAGTGCAGCCCCTTGTGCAACCAAGAATATACTTTACTACTGGCTTCAAGTGCAGCCAGAGACACGACATCTAAAAGAGATTCTTTTGTTTGCATCCGATAAAGTCGTGTACCAAACCAAACACAGAGAGCCGATTCTTGAGGATTTGTGGGGGGTGGGGGGGGGGTTTAATTTCACAGAACAATTCTTGAAATTAGAACAACAAAATATAATGATTGTGAAGGAAAGTACGGAAGAGTCCTGATTGAAACATCAATCAAACTTATTTTACATATAATATTGTTATTTGATCACGTGACCATTGGGCTGTTTACACTTAGCAACTTTATACATTGTGTGCCAGGTTGTCATTTGCACTACGCTCTACCAGATTGGCTTTCCTGAGCCATTATTGCGTATCTGTGTGTGTGCGTGCGTGCGTGCGTCTGTCTGTCTATCTGTATATGTGTGTGCTGATTTATTTTACAATCCTGAAAACCAGTAGTACTCCCAACAAGGAAAGAGAGATCATTCATGGACCTATACTTATGCTTTATAATTCCATCGGCAACTGGCAACTGACCAAGTGATAAACGATGCACTGATCAAAATGTTGGATGACATTAACATTGATGGAGATATCTCAGAATTATTAAAAATATTTTTTGGGAACAAGTAGCAATATTTAAAATAGTAAAAAAGTGGGTAGTCATAAACAAATGAAACAAGGATGTGTAAATCGCCAAGTTATTCTTTCTATTAGCGAAATAATTTTGAGAGAAATCAGAGACATACCAAGATAACAAGCTGGTGGCTATAATATAAACAACCTACTTTATGCGGATGGTACAGAACTAATTGATAGCTGAAAAAACCAAAAGGTCTGTAGCAACTTTTGGACATTCTAGTAATGCAAAGTGCAAGAAAAGATCTTTGCTTTATGATCAAGAAGACAGAAACTGCGATTATAACAACAAAATGTGAATTTATAATACAAGAGAAAGTGTTTAAGTAGAACAAGTTGAAATATTTGGGGACAATTATAACATCTGATGGAAGATGTCACATAAAGATTAGAAGCAGGATGTGCTTGGAAAAGGTGGCATTTCAGAATTTGAAAAATAATTTATGCAACAGTTCTCTCTCCTTAAACGTTTACACTCACACACACACACACACACACACACACACACACACACACACAAACACGCACACACAAACACGCACGCACACACATACACACACACACATACAAATACAGAGAGAGATAAAGAGAGAGAGAGAGAGAGAGAGAGAGAGAGAGAGAGAGAGAGAGAGAGAGAGAGAGAGAGAGAGAGAACTAAACTGTTATATTGAACCACTGCTGCTGTATATTTATCAATCCTGGAATGTAAATGAGCAAATGAAGAAGAATTTTTAAGCAATGGAAGATGTGGTTTCTGAGACACGGCGTGTACCATGGATAGACAGAGCCACTAACAACCACAGTCTGAGACACGGCGTGTACCATGGATAGAGAAAGCCACTAACAACCACAGTCTGAGACACGGCGTGTACCATGGATAGAGAAAGCCACTAACAACCAGTCTGAGACACGGCGTGTACCATGGATAGAGAAAGCCACTAACAACCACAGTCTGAGACACGGCGTGTACCATGGACAGAGAGAGCCACTAACAACCACAGTCTGAGACACGGCGTGTACCATGTACAGACAGAGCCACTTACAACCACAGTCTGAGACACGGCGAATGAAATTAACAAACTATCTTCTACTAAAAGAAAGGGACAGTAAGTGCTCTTTGTTGATGTGTTAAGAAGACAGGTGTCGGAGAATATCTTCATGACTGGAAACATCAACAGTAGAAGAGTCAGATCAAGATTGACGGTGTGACGCGATGGCCATGGGAGGACAAAAGCAAGAGATTGACCAACAGTAGTATATAATCAAGAAAAGAGATAGAGTGTGTTTTCAAGCCCAGAAAGCAGCAGAAAACAGACCGTGCAGCCACTAAAAAGAGCCCATTAACTACGCCGCCATTTTTACTGACAGCTCACCAAACGCTCGCCAGACCTGATAGCAGAAGCCAGTCATGATTCTAGGCCACCCCAGGCTATAATGGCAGTCCTTTTTAGGGCTGCCAGACCCACTTCCAAAAAAAAAACTGGAAACAGCCCGCTAAGCCTGACCGCGCAGACATGATGTCGCATCAAAAAATCAAACTTAGGCAAAAATGATCGCCACAAAGAAACAAACTAAAAAGAAACCGTCCTCGATAAAGTAGGCGTTCAGGTGGCTTAAAGAGGAAAAATCTTTACATTTTTGTTTTCTTTTTTTCCAAGTTCCAAGAGTGTGTTTTACTGTGGAGATACCAGCTGACTAATTTATCTGTTGCAATATTATGTTGAGAGTGCCAGAAACATGATCACAGAACTGTCATCTCAGAAGTTACTGTAGACATTGACCGAGTCGATGTACAAGTTGATGGCATCGTACAAAAGTTTGTATTGTGTCTGAAACAGAAACATGGACAGGCTTTGTTTAAATGGTGATTTTTAACAGTTGCTGTTGTATTTACACTAATTACGTGATTTTACTTTTAACAATTGCTGTTGTATTTACACTAGTTACGTGATTTTACTTTTAACAGTTTCTGTTGTATTTACACTAGTTACGTGATTTTACTTTTAACATAAGAACAGTAACTCTGAAAAGAAAATTCAAATATATTTTTTAATAAGTTTTAAATAAGCTCTTAGGGTGTTTGCTCTCGTTTGTTTGTTGTTCTTGTTTAAAGTTGAATGTTATACTGTTTCTATATATGCTGTCAAGCGAAAGTTTTACACACATAGCTTTTTGTGGTTAACAATGCAACGAAGTGTGAAAATCTTCCTAAAATCTGTTGTGCTTTACTGATAATTTATTTAGGTACTTCAGGAACCTCACCGGTCCACGGAGATCAGGCTTGAGTTAGAAGTAGAATATAGCAATTATGGGTTTACATCAGTATGCCATGATGTTGACCCGTCGACTAAACTAAACTGATAATTTTAAATATTAAAATCAATATACCTGAACATTTTAAGAAAAATACTTTCAAGGAAGTAATCAATACATATTGTCTCCAAGTAAAAATTTACCATCAAACGATTGCCTTTCACGCCAGGCGTGGGGCGAGGATGCAGGCTAAACTAACAATATATCATAATACGTGTCTTTTATTGTCAAAAGTATAAACTATTGTTTCTATACAATTTATTCATTTGTTAAATATATATACCTATACAATTATGTGGTTTACTGTCAAAAGCACTTCATGCTTTTATTAGTTGTCATATAAAATTGTGAAGCAGGTCATGTGCCTATTAAATTATATTTAAACTACTTTTGTCCATTTGGTGCTTTAAATGTGTGATGCGGCTGAAATAATAGCTGATTTTAATGTTGATTTTTCTAATACTGCCTAACAAAAAGAAACGGAACATTTAAGATGATGTAATCTAAAGTGAAGCTTGTGGATCGAACAATGTGAAATAACCGGAAGTGTTGACCCAATCAACAATTTCATGTGTGGACGCCATCTTCCTTCCGCAGCTAGTCAAGTGGCAATAACTCTTATCAGTCTTACAGGAATCGCGGAAACATTTTTTGAATACAAAACTCACTGACCATAATTTTTAATGTGTGAGTTTTTTTGTTTTGGTTTTTTGGGTCACATTTCTCAAGCAAATTAATTTGACAATTATATGGCGTGTATGGCTTCCTAACTACAGAACAACGACTTAACATCAATAGGCGTTTATAAACTGGCCAGTTACAAAGTGGGGTGGCCCTAAAATGTGGTGTGATCAGAAGTACTATTAGTCGCTTTAAAAGCGATTTCAAGACACTGGCTCAGTGGCGAACCGGCTGCACGGTGGATGATGATGAGCCAAAACACTACCAAAGACCGCTTCATCCAGCTCCGTCATTTTAGGAATCGATTTGCATCTGAGTCGTCCACAATCCAGTCAATGCTAGCAGCTCTTAGTCTACAGTCCAGTCAATGCCAGCAGCTCGTCGTCCACAGTCCAGTCAATGCCACATTCTCGTCGTCCACAGTCCAGTGAATGCCACATTCTCGTCGTCTACAGTCCAGTCAATGCCAGATTCTCGTCGTCCACAGTCCAGTCAATGTCACATTCTCGTCGTCTACAGTCCAGTCAATGCCACATTCTCGTCGTCTACAGTCCAGTCAATGCCACATTCTCGTCGTCTACAGTCCAGTCAATGCCACATTCTCGTCGTCTACAGTTCAGTCAATGCCACATTCTCGTCGTCTACAGTCCAGTCAATACCAGATTCTTGTTGTCTACAGTCCAGTCAATACCAGATTCTCGTCGTCCACAGTCCAGTGAATGCCAGATTCTTGTTGTCTACAGTCCAGTCAATGCCAGCAGTTCGTCGTCCACAGTCCAGTCAATGCCAGCAGTTCGTCGTCCACAGTCCAGTCAATGTCAGCAGCTCGTCGTCTACAGTCCAGTCAATGCCAGATTCTTGTTGTCTACAGTCCAGTCAATGCCAGCAGCTCGTCGTCTACAGTCCAGTCAATGCCAGCAGCTCGTCGTCCACAGTCCAGTCAATGTCACCTGCTTGTCGTCTACAGTCCAGTCAATGCCAGCAGTTCGTCGTCCACAGTCCAGTCAATGCCAGCAGCTCGTCGTCTACAGTCCAGTCAATGCCAGATTCTTGTTGTCTACAGTCCAGTCAATGCCAGCAGCTCGTCGTCTACAGTCCAGTCAATGCCAGCAGTTCGTCGTCCACAGTCCAGTCAATGCCAGCAGCTCGTCGTCCACAGTCCAGTCAATGCCACATTCTCGTCGTCTACAGTCCAGTCAATGCCAGATTCTCGTCGTCTACAGTCCAGTCAATGCCACATTCTCGTCGTCCACAGTCCAGTCAATGCCACATTCTCGTCGTCCACAGTCCAGTCAATGCCATCAGCTCGTCTCCCACAGTCCAGTCAATGCCAGCAGCTCGTCGTCTACAGTCCAGTCAATGCCAGATTCTCGTCGTCTACAGTCCAGTCAATGCCAACAGCTTGTCGTCTACAGTCGAGTCAATGCCAGCAGCTCGTCGTCTACAGTCCAGTCAATGCCAGATTCTCTTCGTCTACAGTCCAGTCAATGCCAGCAGCTCGTCGTCTACAGTCCAGTCAATGCCAGATTCTCGTCGTCTACAGTCCAGTCAATGCCAGATTATCGTCGTCCACAGTCCAGTCAATGCCAGATTCTCGTCGTCTACAGTCCAGTCAATGCCACATTCTCGTCGTCTACAGTCCAGTCAATACCAGATTCTCGTCGTCTACAGTCCAGTCAATGCCAGATTATCGTCGTCTACAGCCCAGTCAATGCCAGCAGCTCGTCGTCTACAGTCCAGTCAATGCCAGCAGCTCGTCGTCTACAGTCCAGTCAATGCCAAATTCTCGTCGTCTACAGTCCAGTCAATGCCAGCAGCTCGTCGTCCACAGTCCAGTCAATACCAGATTCTTGTTGTCTACAGTCCAGTCAATGCCAGATTCTCGTCGTCTACAGTCCAGTCAATACCAGATTCTTGTTGTCTACAGTCCAGTCAATGCCAGCAGTTCGTCGTCCACAGTCCAGTCAATGCCAGCAGCTCGTCGTCTACAGTCCAGTCAATGCCAGCAGCTCGTCGTCTACACTCCAGTCAATGCCAGCAGTTCGTCGTCCACAGTCCAGTCAATGCCAGCAGCTCGTCGTCTACAGTCCAGTCAATGCCAGATTCTTGTTGTCTACAGTCCAGTCAATGCCAGCAGCTCGTCGTCTACAGTCCAGTCAATGCCAGCAGCTCGTCGTCCACAGTCCAGTCAATGCCAGATTCTTGTTGTCTACAGTCCAGTCAATGCCAGCAGCTCGTCGTCTACAGTCCAGTCAATGCCAGCAGCTTGTCGTCTACAGTCCAATCAATGCCAGATTCTTGTCGTCTACAGTCAAGTCAATGCCAGCAGCTTGTCGTCTACAGTCCAGTCAATGCCAGCAGCTCGTCGTCTACAGTCCAGTCAATGCCAGATTCTTGTCGTCTACAGTCCAGTCAATGCCAGATTCTTGTCGTCTACAGTCCAGTCAATGCCAGATTCTAGTCGTCTACAGTCCAGACAATGCCAGCAGCTCGTCGTCCACAGTCCAGTTAATGCCAGCAGTTCGTCGTCCACAGTCCAGTCAATGATAGCAGCTCGTCGTCCACAGTCCAGTCAATGCCAGCAGCTCGTCGTCTACAGTCCAGTCAATGCCAGATTCTTGTCGTCTACAGTCCAGTCAATGCCAGATTCTCGTCGTCTACAGTCCAGTCAATGCCAGCAGTTCGTCGTCCACAGTCCAGTCAATGCCAGCAGTTAGTTGTATTTTAGTTCAAACGATCAGGACTCGATCTGATGACTCTGGTCTTTGGGTTCCAAGATCTTGCAGGGATCCTGTTCTTACCGATCAGCATGGCCAGAATAGATTGCAGTAGACAAACCAACATCGTAAACGGACCGTTGAAAATGACTGGAGAAGGATTTGGTTTAGTGATGATCATTCTTTGTGCTCCAGAGTCACGACAGACCGAGAAACATTTGCCGTAGGGTCATTAGGGCTACGCCCAGAACTGCGTACGTGAGATTCTTCCACCTGGTAGTAGTGGTGGTGTTCTCATGTGAGGAGCTAACAGCTTTGTGGGAAGACGTGACCTGTTGCAAAGTAAAGGAGGTTTAACAGCACAACGACACGTTGCTGACATTCTCCTTCTCCACGCCCATCCAAGTCTGGCTGACAAGGATTGATACAAAATAATTCTAAATCTCATGTGGTACAACTCTCCATCTAGTTCCACGCTGACAACAACATCCAGAGCATACCGGGACCATTCATGTCCTTAGACATGAACTTCTTAGAAAATATGAGATAAACTCGACGAACAAGTGTGTCACTGAGGCGTTTCTCCAACCAATGTCCAACAGTTGTCTCTTGCACTCTAAGAAGTATGCGTGTGAAGCCATCCCACAACAACAGATCCAACAGCTAATCAGGTCAATGAAAGGCCGTTATCAAAGAGAGGCCAGAGAAGCCCATACAGCAAACCGAAACAGTGATTCCATTTGCAAAGAATAAAAGTGTCAACCAAAGGTAATGAACACTACTGCATCATCGCTAAAGTCACAATTGTTTGCTTTTAAATCATGACTGAAACATTCATTCCGTAAAAAAAAAAAAAAAACATTGTCGTTCAAATTTCAATTTGGCTGTAAATTAAATTATAACTGCATTAGCCTTGCATTTCTTCTTTGTAGATTATATATCTATATATATATGAATCTCAGTCGATTCATGTGAATCTAGAGTCACTTCCAGTACACCTAGTGATATCCTATAAACAACATCACACACCACAAAGGGTTTAGAGACTATAAACCGCCTGTTAGAAAGGGCTATCAAACGAGGACACTCGTGCAGAAACTGGTTGCCGGGTAAGGAAAGAAGATCTACCAATCAGTTCCTGGTGGGTACATTGAGACTGGAGAAATTAAGCTGGAGTGAAGAAAGATCTACCAATCAGTTCCTGGTGGGTACATTGAGAGTGGAGAAATTAAGCTGGAGTGAAGAAAGAAGATCTGCAAGAGACATTGAGCTGACTGCTGCATTGGAGGTCGGAGCATGAATTGGAAGACCTGATGTGTTAAGATGTCGATATGGAAACAAGAAACAAGTAATCAGTGAGTCACGTTATTAATCTCTCGTGTTAATAGTCTTACAACAGTTTTTCTATGATCGAGAAAACAAACTTCAGGGCTTACCAAAGTGGGGATGACTTGTGGTCTTATAGCCTTGATGGCTCCAACCACCAAGGGAATGGTCAGCCGCTGGTCACTGTCTATTCTGTCTAGCAGGAGGGACAATATACATACCAGGCCACAGTAATCTGCTCCGTTCCTGGATTTAAGTAATTTATTTCAGTACATACAACAAAAATTAATAGACATAAAATTTGCACTATTTTATAGAGCCAGGTAAGTATACTTGTGTGGCACTTGGCTTAGATGATGACCACAATATAAAGGCACTATTTTATAAAACCAGGTAAGTATATATGTGTGGTTTTTGACTTAGAAGTGGGTGAAATCGTTGCAATATGCAATATTCAACATTTACCAGGGTTCGATTACTGCGTTGTGCGGTTTAGAAAAAAAGCCGCTCTAGTGGGTTATTTAACAGCGGTACGAAAATTACACAGCGGAAGTGATTGGAGCCTTACAACGTAGTATGTCCATAGTTAGTTGTGGACACATTGCAGTCAACCGTTATGGAGACGGCAACATGTGTAACCATTTCCAAGGAAATACAGAGAATATTTTATTGATTTTCCGAGACCATACTAGAAAATATGAATAAATTGTGCTCATTACAAATTTATAGGGATCTAAGATAATCGTCTTCTTCAAAACCCTAACGCGGAGCAAAAATTGAAGATAGTTACTAGACAACTTTTTACTTATTTTAAAGGTGTTGGTCTCATTTTGTGTGCGTATATGCGCGCGTTCGTGCGTGTGTATGTGTGTAATTTTTTTTTTCCTGCGCTGTTTCAACATACATTAGTCTGCATTGTTAAGCTGCTAATTGATGTTGAATTAATGGGTTAAATTAAGAATCGACATTACAGCCCTCCGGACACCCCAATAGCAGCAAGCGAAGAGTTACAATTCCGATGGTGAAAGTAAATGTCTAACTATATATCCGTCTCGCCTTTCCCTGTGTGTTGAGCGTCGGTCAGATCTCCTTCTATTTCCTCGCAGTACCATTCTCCTCAGGTCGTAAAGATCTATCTGTTCCTCGGCTCTGTTCACTCGCTTCCAAAGGGCCCTCGCAACATCCAGCTTTTTATTCATTGGTTCACCAATAAGTAGTGCAGAACCGGTCAATCTATCTGCCTGCTCATATCCCAACACACTGGCATACCTTGAGAAAATATCCAAAGGATGCTAACTGGCCGGGACCTCTGAAGTGATGCTTGCCACTCTGCAAGGAGCATGCCTGTCTTCACATTTTTCAGCATGCTCAGTGAGTCAGTTACAATGACGACATTTGTGTACAGCTGATTCTCAAGCCAGCGGAAGGCAGCAGTTACTGCCTCCAACTTCATTCTCAAATTAGACGTTGTGATATCATATGCCACTGCTAATTCTGAATAGTAATTTCAAGCAACACATTACCGATTTGCCACCCCCCCCCCCCCCATCCCCACCGCCATCCCAACCCCCACCCCACCCCCGCCCCCCAACTCAGTAAAAATGAACCTTTCTGTTAAAATACATTGTAATGGAAACTGTTCCACATAGGTCCAAAAAAATGGGTGGTCATAGCAATATAAAGATTAAACAGCATTAAAAGACTTTGGTAAAGCGCCAGCAAAGAAATTAGTTACAATTTTCAGAGCCCGCATATTCCCTGTAGCAATACACGGCCTGAGTAGTGGACTATCTGTCAGAAAGAAACTTTGGGCTTTTGAGCTGAAGTGCTATAGAAAGATTCCCAGAATGCTACGAACAAAGAAGAAATGAAATTCTGACAGTGTCAGAGTCTCGTGTACTTAGTTGACCGCAACATGACTTGTAGCTCAGCGACACGAACGAGACGACTAGCAGAAAGCCGTGACAGAACGAGTTTACCGCTAACGAAGCCACGAGGTTCATGAACTGGTGTCTAACCTGCAACAGTGGACAACAACAAACCTGTGGGGCAGCGAACGAAGAGTTCCGTACCCGGACATTGAAAGTGTTGACTCTTGTTAGTTTGTGACCATAAAATAGAAGAGTGTTCGGTTTGTTTGTTGTTGTTTGTTTTAGTTTCCAGAAGCCATGAGTTGTTAACCCTTAGGCTCAGTATTATGGATATGGCAACCTTTTGGCGTTGATTCCATTGCAAATACCGTAAATCTGGGAGAAAATGTGGCTTTTCTGCCTACCCCCGGGAGTGAACCCGCACCACAAGGAGTTCGTCACCCGCTCACCGCGCAATCCGGTTTAGTCAACTACGCTAGAGAGACGGGCGAGTGTTTGGTTTAAGCGTAGTGACCGATAGTCTGTGCAATAATGCGCTTAACTGGACAGGAGCATTAATTCAGTGTAGTACAGTGTTCGACAGAGATAGGATATTGGGCGATGATTTATGTGGGTAGCTCGTCATGTATTGAAATTATTATGATAGCATGGTTATTGTAATATTTTGTGATTTGATCTGTCCTCACACATTGGCCTGCACTCTGCAGACGTGCAACAGTCCCAATGTAGAGTCCAGTAGCAGAGGAAAGAGCTTGTATCAGTAGCAGTTGGGTTCATGCCCAGGTATTATCTGTACAACAAGATGGACCAGGAGTGAGTGGTGATTTTAAAGCCCTCACGGACTTTTTTAGAATACTGAACGCCCGCCGTTCTTGAGCTAACTGCCTGCTGTTTATTGTTCTGTACCTTAAAGAGTGGTGTGTGTGCTGTGTGAGTGGTTAAGTGTGTCGAAGCAATAGACTGTCTGCCAGTAACCTACTAACGAGCCATTTGCCTTCACGACAGAAGTCAGGGTGCTGACGTCAAGGAGGTTTGGGTAATAAACATCAACTTGACCCAAAAGCTGAAACATTTTGGTCACATCAAGCCCCCCCCCCCCCCCCCTAAAAAATCAAACGGTATGGTACTAGGAAGGAAAGGCAGGGACCGACCGACACGAACATGGGCATAGGAAATAGTGACTTTTTTTCATACCTAGAATGAATTGTAAACCCTTTGGCTCGGTACAATGGATACTGAGCCTTTTGGCCTTGATTACATGATAGATGCCGTAAATCTGGGAGAAATGTGGCTTTTCTGCCTACCCCCGAGCATTAACCCGAACTACACGTGAAAGTGCACGTGGCGGGACAGCTGGCCAGCGACGGAGTTTCTTTCGGGCAGACCGTGATGAGAGCGACGTTGTGCAAAGAACTTGCCACATCGTGCTTGCATTTGTTGATATTTTGCTTGCATTCTGGAAAACGATCTTTGCAATATCTGACTATTTTAATAGTGTTTTTCCTCCTCCCATTACTGAGACATTCCATTCTTGTTTGGTTGTCCAGCAGTGAGATTTCTGTACTGCTCTCTATAGAATAATTGATTTGCAAGGGGGAGAATTACCTGCACATGTACACAATCTTGTCTGTACCTGCTGGAGCCAGTGATCGGACCTGCTTTACCAGGGTCAACAGATTTCCTGGATCTAGGTCATTGCTGGTACACTTCAGGTGGGTCAGGTGTGTGTCTCTATTTAGCTGCTCGAGAAAATTAACGATACATTTTAGATGGATCGGATGCATCTCTCTCTCTCTCTCTCTCTCTCTCTCTCTCTCTCTCTCTCTCTCTCTCTCTCTCTCTCTCTCTTCTTCTTCTTCTTCTTCTTCTCTCTCTCTCTCTTTCTCTCTCTCTCTCTCTCTCTCTCTCTCTCTCTCTCTCCCTATCTGTATCTCACTCAGTCTCCCTCCCTCTCTGTTCTGTGTGCGTCTCTATTTAGTTGCTCGAGAAAATTGACGATACATTTTAGATGAATCGGATGCATCTCTCTCTCACTCTCTCTCTCTCTCTCTTTCTCTCTACCAATCGGTATCTCTCACTGCCTCTGTGTCTCTCCCTCTTCTTATTGCTCTCTGTCATTGTCTCTGTCTTTCTCTCTTTCTTTCTTTCTCTGTCTCTCAGATACACACACATACACACACATTCAACCTAATGAAGAGAATTTATAATTTTAGTTTGAGCGGATGCATCCCTCTCCCTCTCTTCTTCTCTCCCTCTCTCTCTCTCTCTCTCTCCTTCTCTCTCCCTCTCTCTCCCGCTCGCGCGAGCGCTCGCTCTCTCTTTCACTCTGCTAAAGAGAACTAGTCCACTTGTTTGTGTCATATTTGTCTCTCACTTGGCCTGAAATAGAACTGACTAAACATGCCAAACACAGTGAACATACTAAACATAGTGAACATACTAAACATAGTGAACATACTAAACAAACATAGTGAACATACTAAACATAGTAAATATACTAAACATAGTGAACATAGTAAACATAGTGAACATACTAAACATAGTGAACATACTAAACATAGTGAACATAGTAAACATAGTGAACATACTAAACATAGTGAACATACTAAACATAGTAAACATACTAAACATAGTGAACATACTAAACATAGTTACATACTAAACAAACATAGTGAATATACTAAACATAGTGAACATACTAAACATAGTGAATATACTAAACATAGTGAACATACTAAACATAGTGAACATACTAAACAAACATAGTGAACATACTAAACAAACATAGTGAACATACTAAACATAGTGAACATACTAAACATAGTGAACATACTAAACATAGTGAACATACTAAACATAGTGAATATACTAAACATAGTGAGCATACTAAACATAGTGAACATACTAAACAAACATAGTAAACATACTAAACATAGTGAACATATAAAATCATAGAGAACATGCTTAACGTAGTGGACATACTAAACAAACATAGTGAACATACTAAACATACATAGTAAACATACTAAACAAACATAGTGAACAAACTAAACATAGTGAACATACTAAACAAACATAGTGAACATACTAAACATAGTGAACATACTAAACAAACATAGTGAACATACTAAACATAGTGAACATACTAAACATAGTGAACATACTAAACATAGTGAACATACTAAACATAGTGAACATACTAAACATAGTGAACATACTAAACATAGTGAACATACTAAACATAGTGAACATACTAAACATAGCAAACATACTAAACATAGTAAACATACTAAACATAGTGAAGATACTAAAAATAGTGAATATACTAAACATAGTGAACATACTAAACATAGTGAACATACTAAACATAGTGAACATACTAAACATAGTGAACATAGTAAACATAGTGAACATACTAAACATAGTGAACATACTAAACATAGTGAATATACTAAACATAGTGAACATACTAAACATAGTGAACATACTATACATAGTGAACATACTAAACATAGTGAACATACTAAACATAGTGAACATACTAAACATAGTGAACATACTAAACAAACATAGTGAACATACTAAACATAGTGAACATACTAAACATAGTGAACATACTAAACATAGTAAATATACTAAACATAGTGAACATACTAAACATAGTGAACATGCTAAACATGGTGAACATACTAAACAAACATAGTGAACATACTAAACATAGTGAATATACTAAAAATAGTGAACATACTAAACATAGTAAACATACTAAACATAGTGAACATACTAAACAAACATAGTGAACATACTAAACAAACATAGTGAACATAGTAAACGTAGTGAACATTCTAAACATAGTGAATATACTAAACATAGTGAACATACTAAACATAGTGAACATACTAAACATAGTGAACATACTAAACATAGTGAACATAGTAAACATAGTGAACATACTAAACATAGTGAACATACTAAACATAATGAATATACTAAACATAGTGAACATACTAAACATAGTGAACATACTAAACATAGTGAACATACTAAACATAGTGAACATACTAAACATAGTGAACATACTAAACATAGTGAACATACTAAACATAGTGAATATACTAAACATAGTGAACATACTAAACATAGTGAACATACTAAACATAGTGAACATACTAAACATAGTGAACATACTGAACATAGTGAACATACTAAACAGAGTGAACATACTAAACAGAGTGAACATAGTAAACATAGTGAACATACTAAACATAGTTACATACTAAACATAGTAAATATACTAAACATAGTGAACATACTAAACATAGTGAACATACTAAACATAGTGAACATACTAAACAAACATAGTGAACATACTAAACATAGTGAATATACTAAAAATAGTGAACATACTAAACATAGTAAACATACTAAACATAGTGAACATACTAAACAAACATAGTGAACATACTAAACAAACATAGTGAACATAGTAAACGTAGTGAACATTCTAAACATAGTGAATATACTAAACATAGTGAACATACTAAACATAGTGAACATACTAAACATAGTGAACATACTAAACATAGTGAACATAGTAAACATAGTGAACATACTAAACATAGTGAACATACTAAACATAGTGAACATACTAAACATAGTGAACATACTAAACATAGTGAACATACTAAACATAGTGAACATACTGAACATAGTGAACATACTAAACAGAGTGAACATACTAAACAGAGTGAACATACTAAACATAGTGAACATACTAAACAGAGTGAACATACTAAACATAGTGAACATAGTAAACGTCCCAATTCCCATCAGTCTTCCTGCAAGAAACAAGTTCAGTGCCCACTTCCAACCATGCCGCATCGGGCATATAATGCTAAACCTATACTTGTATAGACCAGCTGGTGATGTGGTTAATATATATCACGGCGTGCAGCTGCTGCTGCTTTTGCTGCTGCCGCTGCTGCTGCTTTTGCTGCTGCTGTTACTACTACTACTTTAGCAATGACAGTAACAGCTACGACTGTTCTGGTTTGTCCGGCTAGAGAGATTAACTTGCAATAATTATTCCTAGTATAAACTTTAGTCGCCGTGGCCGAGCGACTAAATGCTCGTCGTGGATCGGAAGGTCGTGGGTTCGCTCCCTGGCGAAGCCGGATTTTTTTGAAAAATGACCTTGGCTCCCAGGTCGACCCAGCCTTGAGTGGGTGCCCGGTGCAGTCCCGGGAAAGTAAAGGCGGCCGGCGTGATGCTGACCACATCACCCATCTTGTGCCGATTGGTCAAAAGATATAGGTCTAGCCCTATATGCCCTATACGCCTGATAGCGTGGAAAAGGGTCCTTTACTTTCCTTTACTTATAAACTTTAGCCTAGGCCACCAATGGGGCCATTAGTAATTGATGGAATGGGACGGGGAAAGAAGCAGCAACACCAGTTCTAAGACCAAGGGGCAGTCTTGCTAGCCACTACACTCCCTGAATATCTGTGACGGGGAAAGAAGCTGCAACACCAGTTCTAAGACCAAGGGGCAGGCTTGCTAGCCACTACACTCCCTGAATATCTGTGACGGGGAAAGAGGCATCAACACCAGTTCTAAGACCAAGGGGCAGTCTTGCTAGCCACTTCACTCCGTGAATATCTGTGACGGGGAAAGAGGCATCAACACCAGTTCTAAGACCAAGGGGCAGGCTTGCTAGCCACTACACTCCATGAATATCTGTGGTTGCCAAACAATGAACACTATCTACTTGAGTTGTACATTGTGAGTGGGATACATTTATTTGAGGTTACTATTACTTCTGTCCTCCCCTTACTCAAACCGAGATCATGTTTGTGATTACTATCTAGCTGCACGTTCTCTAAAGACGACCAGTACGTACTCGAACTGAAGACTTCCGCTTTGTCCTGCTGGTAGTACTTGTGACGACCACTTCCTGTTGTTGCCAGAGGTTTTCACATGTGACTTGTTTTGTGCTGATGTTAAACTGATCAGAGAACAGCACTTCATGATCTGTTTGCGGTAGATATGTTCCCACAGTCTGAAATAAAATACTAACATTAATGACTAACTTTCACTGTAATCACCAAACTACCTGACCTGAACTGAGTGACAGACAGTATTATCCTCTTTTTTGTTACGGTATCATTAAAAGTAGTAGTTCAGTAGTAAAAGTAGCAGCAGAAGTAGCAGCAGCAGTAGTTGTTATTGTCTTGTCACTGTTGCAGAAGTAGTAGTAGTAGTAGTAGTAGTAGTAGTAGTAGTAGTAGTAGTAGCAGCGGCAGCAGCAGCAGTAGTAGTAGTAGTAGTAGTAGTAGTAGTAGTAGTAGTAGTAGTAGTAGTAGTAGTAGTAGTAGTAGTAGTAGTAGTAGTAGTAGCAGCAGCAGCAGCAGTAGTTGTTATTGTCTTGTCATTGTTGCAGAAGTAGTAGTAGTAGTAGTAGTAGTAGTAGTAGTAGTAGTAGTAGTAGTAGTAGTAGTAGTAGTAGTAGTAGTAGTAGTAGTAGTAGTAGTAGTAGCGGCAGCAGCAGCAGCAGTAGTAGTAGTAGTAGTAGTAGTAGTAGTAGTAGTAGTAGTAGTAGTAGTTGTTGTTGTTGTTGTTGTTGTTGTTGTTGTTTGTGGTGGTACCTCACCAGTAATAATCAAATAATCTTTCATAATTTTAAATGGGATTATAAAAAGTTGTTATTGTTTCATAAAATGAATATTTATGTTTTCCCAACTTATAAGTTCCTCTATTTAATATCGTAAAACTTAGGTCTGGAAGTTAGCTGTGATATTCAGTGTGTCATCCATCATTCTTTTTTTTTTTAGTCAGGAGAATGTGCTGAAACGTACACGAAGCATCTATTAAATCGTCATGTTGAAGACAAAATAAACAAACAGGCGTCGAAAAGGTGCATGCACTGGCTTCCGTAGGTTCTACCAGAAGGAAGGGGCGGGGGGGGGGGGCGGGGGGGGGGACCTGGTTTATCTAAAAAGATGGTATGAAAAAGTTCTTAGCTCTCAGTTTTCATCATTGTCCGATAGCGTTGAGAAAATAGTAAAGCTGAAATCATGACAAAGGTTTGGTTGTAAAGAACATATATATATATATAAATCAATGTTTGTGTGTTTGTTTGGTCTCTATAGACTCGGAAACTACTGAACCGATTTAGCTGAAATTTTCAGGATATGTTTGTTGTGATACCGGATTTTGAACCGTCGTGGTTTGAAATTCAACCTGTCACTGTTAGAGATAGGTGACCACAATTTATGCCAAAATATACGCAACTAATATTTACAACTTTAGTGATTTCTAATTATAGCGACGTTAGTAATTGCGCATGCGCCGTATTTACCATTCGCCGGCGAGTTACGTGCAGCCAACGCCTTCTCTAATACTAATACATAGAGTAGGTCGTGGTACAGCAAACAAGACTATCTCTATATTTGCCACAATAACCATATTAAACACGATTTCTATTTTCTGTTGTTTTTTTTTCAAACAACCTTCGATTGGGGGGGGGGGGGGGGGGGGGGGGGCAATCGAGGACTATCTCGACGTCGGCGCAGACAGTGACTGCGACATTAACTTCATTAACCGTGTTAGACACGTGCGATTTCTATTTCATTAATATATCTGGAGTATCTGTCTACGAGAAAACAATTGCCTGCGGTTTTGAATTGAGTTTTATTTGCGACACAGTGGTAGGGGCACATATGTCTAATAGTTGTGTTCTCTTTTCGTTGTTCCGATTAAATGGCTGCTTGGTCGAATGGTTAGAACACTGGGTTCAAGTGCGGTAGACCTGGGTTCGAATCCGCGGTAGTTAAATTTTTTTTTACCCCGGACTAAATTAATATCCTCATCTGCTCTGTCCTGGTGACAGCACTAGCCATGTTGCCTTAATATTTAAAAAAAAAAGAAAAAAAAAAGTAAATGGGTAAACCATTTGATAATTAAATTTGACCATTTCGCATACTCATGATGGCATTGTTAAACTTTCCGATTGCATGGTTACGCTGAAATTTTATAGATTTTCATTTAGATTTAGTTATTTCATCTGTGTTGGAATTTTAAGCTGTGCTGTTTACAATGGCGTTCATTTCCTAATTATGGTGTTTTTTTTCCTGTGTTCATTTGCTTTTCAAGTGTTGTTTTTTTTTAAGCCCTATTCACTACCTTTTACAATTCCTGCTCCTTATTTTAGTCCAGATGGACAGGGATGTCAATGTCAGTTACAGCAACAACAAAATATCGCCAGTTAGTGATTTTCAAATCCTTCGAAGATGGAGAGAGCAGTAGTCGGTGGAAGAGGGGAGGGGGGTAATGACTTAAATTTAAGAGAACTTAAAGAGCTTTACACGTGATTTTCAAGTTCTCATTACCTAATTTGTTTATATTTTACTAACGCTACCTCCGCTTTTCTATTTTTTACGACTTACTTTGTTATTTACAAGTACAGTTGTAGCTTTACTTCCGTCTCCTATAAAAATACAAACAGCTTCAGCATGTGATAACCAAATAACCACTTTTGTTACCGTGCTAATAACACCATTTAAACGACCACTAATATAAAGACACAATTATATGGTGCGTATATTTGCCACAATAACCATATTAAACACGATTTCTATTTTCTGTTTTTTTTTTCAAACAACCTTTGATGGGGGGGGGGGGGGGGGCAATCAAGGACTATCTCGACGTCGGCGCAGACATTGACTGCGTCATTAACTTCATTAGAGAGGTGCGATTTCCATTGTCTTTCTTTTCTAAAAACCTTTGATGAGGGAGAGGGTACTAGGTGGATTTAGTTGTAGGGGTGGGGGTGGGGGGGGATCAAAGACTATCTCAAATTACGCCACAGCAACGCGTGGCCGGGTACAGCTAGTTTTATATATATTCTACTGATAGTCTTTTTCTGAACAGAACGAGACTATATAATAGAATTCGAGCCTGGTATATTTTCTGTTCCTTTTGTCGTCTCACTGATACCAGGTTGTAGCCCAGTGTCGAAGTTCTGTCGTCTCACTGATATCAGGTTGTAGCCCAGTGTCGTAGTTCTGTCGTCTCACTGATACCAGGTTGTAGTCCAGTGTCGTAGTTTTGTCGTATCACTGATACCAGATTGTAGCCCAGAGTCGTAGTTTTGTCGTCTCACTGATACCAGGTTGTAGCCCAGTATCGTAGTTTTGTCGTATCACTGATACCAGATTGTAGCCCAGAGTCGTAGTTTTGTCGTCTCACTGATACCAGGTTGTAACCCAGTGTCGTAGTTCTGTCGACTCACTGATACCAAGTTGTAGCCCAGTGTCGTAGTTTTGTCTTCTCAAATACTCTTTCTTGGTCTTCCTGTTGCCTTACTCTCAGATGTTCTGCTGTAAAAAGTCTATATGCAGTTTGGTCTGGCTGCATTCTCACTAGATGGCTGAACCATTTCATTCTTTTTCTGTCAATGGAATCCAGACATGGTCTTTTTCAAACTTTCTCTTTAATGCTGGTATTCGTAAGCCTGTCTAGTCTAGTTTTGTTAGTGACCTTGCGGAGACAGCGCATTTCACACGTAGTTTTTTTTTCTGTTATAGTGCCCTTTCATTGTCCATGTTTGGCACTGATAACATAAAGTAGGGATAACGATGCTTTCAACCATTTCCTGTTTTGCTGGAAGGGAGACACGTTTGTGTATAAGTAGCTGGGCTAACTGGTAGGTGACAGCATTTGACTTCTGTTCTCTGGCTTCTATCTCTCTATTGAGTCTGCCATCTTCCGTAAATATGTTTCCTAGATATTTGAATTCTCGTACTTCGATTGTAGTACCGTTAACATGAAAGATCATGATAATAATCTGACGTTCCTGGCATATCGTGGGTTGTAAAACATTTTCACTAACCTCCAAATTACACAAGCTTTATGTAAAATATAAACATAGCACAACAATCAGTTCAAGGTTAATAAAATAGTCCCTGATTACTACAATCGGGGTTTAAGACAAAAGAAAACAAAAGTACATATTTCTACCTCATCTGTCAAACTCGAGTCTGCCTCAAAAGCCACAATGAACGACACCTTGTACTCAACGACCAACCTCCAGAAGTCACTGACTGTGGTGGGCAGGGGAAGCTGGGTCAGGATGTGTTGGTTCTGTTTGGTAAAACTCTGAGAAGATTTCGAGAATTGTGGTCAAAAGTTAGCTCTAGTGTGTGCTTTCAGGGGATTATTTGTGAGTCTGCGATCCCATGAAACAATAAACTTATAAAAGAACATAAAAATAAAATATGCATCACTTTTGCTGTGAGGATTTTAAGAGAGGAATTCATTTATCGCAATATGGGAAGCTCAGTCCTAAACATATGATCATCCTCCCATGCCATGTTGTCAAATTGTCTAGCATCTTCTGTGGCGGTCTCCTTCTGCACCTCCCTCTTTCCAGCTTTCCCAGTGTCACGATGTACTCACGTTTTATCCTTCTGTTGTGGCCAGTCAGTTCTCTTCGTGAGTCAGTTTCTTTCAGGTCATCCTCTTTATAGTTTTTTTTTTTTTTTTTGTCCAGGGTATTCTCATCATTCGTCTATAAAACCAAATCTCGGCAACTTCCACACAATTTTTTCACCAATAGTCCATGATTTCCTTCCATATATGAGGATAAAAAATTTATAGTCTTGACAATTCTCTTTCTAGTTTTAAATACGTACATAGCATTTCAGGGTTCCTCGGTACAGATTAGAATTGGATTGAATAAACAGCCGACATCATATGTGGAAGGCAACGGGAAACCACCACATCATTTTCCAAGAAAACTCATTAGAAAAATAACTAGATGAAATGAACACATCAGAGAGTTATATGATGGAATGAACACATCAGAGAGTTATATGATTCAATGAACACATCAGAGAGTTATATGATTCAATGAACACATCAGAGAGTTATATGATGGAATGAACACATCAGAGAGTTATATGATTCAATGAACACATCAGAGAGTTATATGATTCAATGAACACATCAAAGAGTTATATGATTCAATGAACACATCAGAGAGTTATATGATTCAATGAACACATCAGAGAGTTATATGATTCAATGAACACATCACAGAGTTATATGATTCAATGAACACATCAGAGAGTTATATGATGGAATGAACACATCAGAGAGTTATATGATTCAATGAACACATCAGAGAGTTATATGATTCGATGAACACATCACAGAGTTATATGATTCAATGAACACATCAGAGAGTTATATGATGGAATGAACACATCAGAGAGTTATATGATTCAATGAACACATCAGAGAGTTATATGATTCAATGAACACATCACAGAGTTATATGATTCAATGAACACATCACAGAGTTATATGATTCAATGAACACATCAGAGAGTTATATGATTCAATGAACACATCAGAGAGTTATATGATTCAATGAACACATCAGAGAGTTATATGATGGAATGAACACATCAGAGAGTTATATGATTCAATGAACACATCAGAGAGTTATATGATTCAATGAACACATCACAGAGTTATATGATTCAATGAACACATCAGAGAGTTATATGATGGAATGAACACATCAGAGAGTTATATGATGGAATGAACACATCACAGAGTTATATGATTCAATGAACACATCAGAGAGTTATATGATTCAATGAACACATTAGAGAGTTATATGATTCAATGAACACATCACAGAGTTATATGATGGAAAAAGAGCAGAACTACCGGAAGAAAGAAAATTAGAAGGTCCGTCTATACTATTATGTGTCCACGCGGTGGCAGGGGGTGGGAAAGATGTAACAAAATGTGAATATTGCGAATCAGTTTTTACCGGAACAAACACAGCATTGATGTAGTTGTCTGCCCCGTCGACTCCAGATTGTAAGATCACTCTGTAGGACTCCTCTGTTGACAGAAAATTACATCATTAGACAAAGAGAAATAATTTCACTTTCACAAAAATCTTTTCTAGGATCAGATCAAATGCATTTTTTAAGTTTAATATTTAAAAATATACCCAGGGAAAGCCATGAAGTCGACGGGTGAGAAATGCTTATATCAGATATAGACTGGAGAATATATCTGGCTCTATATTCGTTGAGAAACAGAAGATCGAAGTGTTCAGTCATCTCATTAGAAAGCAGCGATAACAACTCCCAACACGGGCGCCTAAAGATCGGACAAGATAGCAAGACAGTACACAGGCAGAAGATGAACTGATTATACAAGACATGATACATCCACACAAAAAGATTATGGTCACAGTCACCCATCTAGCGGTAGGCCAGAAATGATTCCTTCTAACTCTGCTTCATTGCTAAAGTTGAAATTGATGCAGAAAATGGAGATGAATCCATTCATTTTTGTATAAACAGTTTTCTATCATCTGTAGATTATTATGTCTAGAACTCATTACTGTCGTGGAAATCTCCTTGGTAGTCTTAATGATGATGATGAAGTTTATTATAGTGGTAGCGGTAGTGGTGGTGTGGTAGCGATTGTGGTTATGGTGGTAGCGTTAGTGGTGGTAGCGGTAGTGGTGTTGGTGGTAGTGGTAGTGGTGGTGGTGGTAGCGGTAGTGGTGGTAGTGGTAGGGGTGATAGCGATAGTGGTGGTGGTGATAGCGGTAGTGGTGGTAGCGGTAATGGTGTTAGTGGTAATGGTGGTGGTGGTAGCGGTAGTGGTGGTGGTGTAGCGGTAGTGGTGGTGGTGGTGGTGGTAGTGGTGGTGGTGGTAGCGGTAGTGGTGGTGGTGGTAGCGGTAGTAGTGGTAGCGGTTGTGGTAGTAGCGGTAGTGGTGGTGGTGGTAGCGGTAGTGGTGGTGGTGGTAGCGGTAGTGGTGGTAGAAGTAGTGGTGGTGGTAGTGACAGCGGTAGTGGTGGTGACAGCGGTAGTGGTGGAATAGGTAGTGGTGGTGGTGGTGGTGGTAGCGGTAGTGGTGGTAGCGGTAATGGTGTTAGCGGTAGTGGTGGTGGTGGTAGCGGTAGTGGTGGTGGTGGTAGCGGTAGTAGTGGTGGTTGTGGTGGTAGCGGTAGTGGTGGTGGTGGTGGTGGTAGCGGTAGTGGTGGTGGTGATAGCGGTAGTGGTGGTGGTGGTAGCGGTAGTGGTGGTAGCGGTAATGGTGTTAGCGGTAGTGGTGGTGGTGGTAGCGGTAGTGGTGGTGGTGGTAGCGGTAGTGGTGGTGGTAGTGGTAGTGGTGGTGGTGGTAGCGGTAGTGGTGGTAGCGGTAGTGGTGGTAGCGGTAATGGTGTTAGCGGTAGTGGTGGTGGTGGTAGCGGTAGTGGTGGTGGTGGTAGCGGTAGTGGTGGTGGTGGTAGTGGTAGTGGTGGTAGCGGTAGTGGTGGTGGTTGTAGCGGTAGTGGTGGTAGCGGTTGTGGTAGTAGCGGTAGTGGTGGTGGTGGTAGCGGTAGTGGTGGTGGTGGTAGCGGTAGTGGTGGTAGAAGTAGTAAGGGTGGTGGTGGTGACAGCTGTAGTGGTGGTAGCGGTAGTGGTGGTGGTGGTAGCGGTAGTGGTGGTAGCGGTAATGGTGTTAGCGGTAGTGGTGGTGGTGGTAGCGGTAGTGGTGGTGGTGGTAGCGGTGGTGGTGGTGGTGGTGGTAGTGGTGGTGGTGGTAGCGGTAGTGGTGGTGGTGGTAGCGGTAGTGGTGGTAGCGGTTGTGGTAGTAGCGGTAGTGGTGGTGGTAGTAGCGGTAGTGGTGGTGGTGGTAGCGGTAGTGGTGGTGGTGGTAGCGGTAGTGGTGGTGGTAGTAGCGGTAGTGGTGGTGGTAGTAGCGGTAGTGGTGGTGGTGGTAGCGGTAGTGGTGCTAGAAGTAGTGGTGGTGGTGGTGACAGCGGTAGTGGTGGTAGCGGTAGTGGTGGTGGTGGTGGTGGTGGTAGCGGTAGTGGTGGTAGCGGTAGTGGTGGTGGTGGTAGCGATAGTGGTGGTGGTGGTGGTAGTGGTGGTAGTGGTGGTGGTGGTAGCGGTAGTGGTGGTGTTAGTGGTGGTAGTGGTGACAGCGGTAGTGGTGGTGGTGGTAGCGGTAGTGGTGGTGGTAGTGGTGGTGGTGGTAGCGGTAGTAGTGGTGGTAGTGGTAGTGGTGATAGCAGTAGCGGTAGTGGTGGTAGTGGTGATAGCGGTAGTGGTGGTGGTGGTAGCGGTAGTGGTGGTAGCGGTAATGGTGTTAGCGGTAGTGGTGGTGGTGGTAGCGGTAGTGGTGGTAGCAGTAATGATGTTACCGGTAGTGGTGGTGGTGGTAGCGGTAGTGGTGGTGGTGGTAGCGGTAGTGGTGGTGGTGGTAGCGGTAGTGGTGGTAGAAGTAGTGGTGGTGGTGGTGACAGCGGTAGTGGTGGTAGCGGTAGTGGTGGTGGTGGTGTTAGCGGTAGGGGTGATGGTGGTGGTAGCACTACAGCCTGCACCCACTTACTGGGTAAAATGTGGCTGAATCTATTTTTGGGCAAGTTGGCCACAGCCAGGCTGTTTTGGTAGACTGTGTTGTGGTCGTCGTGGGATCCTTCATTGTCTGCTGTGTGCTTGTTGTCGTGGGATCCTTCATTGTCTGTTGCTGGCTTGTCATTGTCTTCGTCACAAATGCTACAGACTGCCTGCAGTTTGGGAACACAGAAAATTATATTTCAGTTTTGGAAAATTAGACGGCAGCTTTAGAAGACAAAATTGCAAAATAATTATATTTAAAAAGTAGAGACTAAAATGCCAACATTAGAATACAAAATTTCAAAATTATGAACAAAATTTCAGTATTAGAAAAGACTTCAGCATTAGAAGAAGACAAAAATCAGCATTGAAAATAAGACTTCAACAATAGAAAACATGATTTCAATATTAGGAAACTACTTTAATTTTGAACATAAATTTTTTTTTTAAATAAATAAAAAACATGTCAGCTACTCAAAACAAATATTTGAGAAATAGAAATCACCAGGTCAACTTTGGCTGGGTTGCCATGATTCCGCCATTTTGCCATTATTAATTACTTAGGTGGAGGCAACCGATGATCACGTTAATAATGATGATGATGATAACCTATATTATTAATTGTTAGATAGAGGCAGCGGATGATTATGTTAACATTGATGATAATGATAACATCTATTATTCATTGGTTAGATGGAGGCAGCGGATGATTATGTTAACATTGATCATAATGATAACATCTATTATTAATTGGTTAGATGGAGGCAGCGGATGATTATGTTAACATTGATGATAATGATAACATCTATTATTAATTGGTTAGATGGAGGCAGCGGGTGATTATGTTAACATTGATGATAATGATAACATCTATTATTAATTGGTTAGATGGAGGCAGCGGATGATTATGTTAACATAGATGATAATGATAACATCTATTTTTAATTGGTTAGATGGAGGCAGCGGATGATTATGTTAACATTGATGATAATGATAACATCTATTATTAATTGGTTAGATGGAGGCAGCGAATGATTATGTTAACATTGATGATAATGATAACATCTATTATTAATTGGTTAGATGGAGGCAGCGGATGATTATGTTAACATTGATGATAATGATAACATCTATTATTAATTGGTTAGACGGAGGCAGCTGAGGATTATGTTAACATTGATGATAATGATAACATCTATTATTAATTGGTTAGATGGAGGCAGCGGATGATTATGTTAACATTGATGATAATGATAGCATCTATTGTTAATTGGTTAGATGTAGAAGAGTTTTAAATTCCTTTTGGGACTACTCAGTGCTCACGTAGCACCTGCAAGACATGTCTTTTCGTTGTCCAGACTTCTTCGGTCAGTTTCCCTAATGGTTCTTTTTAAATTAGGGAACCTTTTTCTTGCGAATCCCGCAACGTAATTTATGCAATTATCTGCAAACGATGCAGCAAGGCATACATTAGGGAGACTGGCAGGAAGCTAGCTGATCGTTTCCGGGAAAACCTCTCCGATATCGACAAGAAGACACTCAAACCAATCCCTCTTCATTTTAATAGCCCTGACCACAGCGGTAAAGATGACATATCTGTCACAGCATTAAAATCTTGCTCTGGCGATCATACTACCCGCCTCGCTTTGGAAAATCGCCTTATCCACAGCCTTGGCGTTCTTAGTCCAAGAGGTATCAATATCCAACATACCTTCATCTAAATAGTTCTAGTCTTATCCCATTTTAAATGTTAATTATTTTATTTTACTTCATATTATTACCTTATTCTATTTCTTATCAATATCATTTATGTATCATTAACACTTGCATTTCTTTTATTCCCAGTATTGTGACTATATTTTTTAGCCATCGTTTATTTTATTTTATTTCATTTATTCCGCATCACATTTTTTTGAACGTCGCTCACGTCACCCCTTAGAGATCTACATACTCTCCATTCCTCGTTTGTGTCTTTCACTTGTGTTTAAAAAAGGCTGCCTGGCCGAAACGTTACGTTGTGTTGTTTTGTGCACGTTTTCCTCTTTCCCATTTTGTTGAGCTTTTTAGTCAAATTTTTCTGGAATTCATTGTATTAGCTTGACTGCAGTCACCCCCATAGTTTCACCATTTTTGGACATTTAGGGCTCGACCGTTCTGACACACCCGTTCTGACACACCCGTTCTGACACACCCGTTCTGATACACCCGTTCTTCCACACCCGTTCTGACACACCCGTTCTGACACACCCGTTCTGACACACCCGTTCTCCCACACCCGTTCTGACACACCCGTTCTGACACACCCGTTCTGACACACGCGTTCTGGCACACCCGTTCTGACACACCCGTTCTGACACACCCGTTCTGACACACCCGTTCTGACAAACCCGTTCTGACACACCCGTTCTGACACACCCGTTCTGACACACCCGTTCTGACACACCCGTTCTGATACACCCGTTCTCCCACACCCGTTCTGACACACCAGTTCTGACACACCCGTTCTGACACACCCTTTCTCCCACACCCGTTCTGACACACCCGTTCTGACACACCCGTTCTCCCACACCCGTTCTGACACACCCGTTCTGACTCACCCGTTCTGACACACCCGTTCTCCCACACCCGTTCTGACACACACGTTCTGACACACCCGTTCTGACACACCCGTTCTGACACACCCATTCTGGCACACCCGTTCTTACACACCCGTTCTGACACATGCGTTCTGACACACCCGTTCTGACACACCCGTTCTGACACACCCGTTCTGACACACCTGTTCTGACAACCCCTTCTAGCACACCCGTTCTGGCACACTCGTTCTAGCACACCCTTTATAGCGCACCAGTTCTAGCACACCCGTTCTAGCACACCTGTTGTGACACACCTGTTCTGGCACACCAGCTATAGCACACCCGTTCTAGCCCACCCATTCTGACACACCCGTTCTGACACACCCGTTCTGGCACATCTGTTCTGACACACCCGTTCTGACACACCCGTTCTGACACACCCGTTCTGACACACGCGTTCTGACACACCCGTTCTGACACACCCGTTCTGGCACACCGGTTCTGACACACCCGTTATGGCACACCCGTTCTGACACACCCGTTATGGCACACCCGTTCTGGCACACCGGTTCTGACACACCCGTTATGGCACACCCGTTCTGACACACCCGTTCTGACACACCCGTTCTGACACACCCGTTATGGCACACCCGTTCTAGCACACCCATTCTAGCACACCCTGTATTACTGCATTACCATGTTGTCGTGTGATCCATTTATGTAAATATATTAGACCTGCCTGAAATTCCTTCTCCATGTTGGTGTGTCCGGTGTCTGATGTCAGTGAGAGTGTCTGGATTCTGCCCTTGACGTCTCTGGAAGTCACTGTTGTACCGATGCATAGAATGGCAACCTGCACTGACTGATGGAGGAACTCGTACTGACCCTGGTGACGTTCATAAGCACAAGAAAATTTAATTGAAACTAGTCTAAACTGCTCGTAGGTACAGTTTATGAGTACAAGAAAATAGAATTGAAACTGGTGTAAACTGGTCGTAGGTACAGTTTATGAGTACAAGAAAACAGAATTGAAACTAGTCTAAACTGCTCGTAGGTACAGTTTATGAGTACAGGAAAATAGAATTGAAACTGGTGTAAACTGGTAGTAGGTACAGTTTATGAGTACAAGAAAATAGAATTGAAACTGGTGTAAACTGGTCGTAGGTACAGTTTATGAGTACAAGAAAATAGAATTGAAACTGGTGTAAACTGGTCGTAGGTACAGTTTATGAGTACATGAAAATAAAACTAAAACTGGCTATATTCGGTCTTATGTAGGACAAGTCACAGCCGAAATCCCTCTCCACAAAAATCTGGCAGTGCTGTTTTGTTTTCGTGTCGGTTAAAGCTGAAAATCCTGATTTGTGCCAGTATGAATACACTAAATCCATGTCACTAGAGGTTAGGCGAATAATTCTCGCATGCTTATAGAGCCAGTTTTAACTTGACGGCTGTGAATCCTGGACAATTAATAAACAAGCCGAACAATTCCTTGAGACCTCAGTGATGTGGTTTCATTAGAATTGCTTGGACAGCTAAAAAACAAAAGAGCAACCCAGATGTTTAGAAAGAGACGAGAGCTATAAGACAACGTATTACGCACATCAGAAAGAGACAGTCATCATGTTTAGTCCTGTTAGGAGAATAAGGAAACTGGAACGTGTTGTGACCACTGGAAAGATCTGTGAAAAAAGAGCTACAGGAAGACAACGTGAAAAGATTTTAGACAGCCTTTTTCCCATTGACTGGACAGGTGTCAACACACGAATTGATACACACTCAGTTGCGGATCACAGATTGTGAACAGACATGATCGCCCACGCTGGTCAGCAAAGTACTTGATAATGATAACAAATGCACTTAATTTAAAAATTGCCTGATACCCCTTTGAAACTCACTTACTCCCCCCCCCCCCCCACCCACCGAGTGGGGCACCCAACAAATTGGAGATCACTATGAGCCCGTGCACTGAGCAACTTTGGACTCAGACTTTAGTTAGAAGTAGAACGGAGCACTTGTGGGTTACTACCAGTGGGCAGTGATTTTGATCTGTTGTTCAAACCTCAAACCTCCTATGTTATCGTCCCATCAGGAATAGGGTACTTAACCCATATTGTATAGACCAGTCAGCACTCGACAAGGAGCGGATCATCATCCCCCCAGCCTTAAAGCCAAGGTCAGTTGTTTAAAAGATCACCCTTGACGGACCTCGAACCCAAGACATTTGAGCATCCAGCCACTACCCGACCCCTGCTCCCCTTAAAAAGTTATAGGTTTAGTATAGTTGTCTCCACCTCTGGGGCTCAGTAACCGAGACTAAAAATTGTAAATGGGAATGTACTGTAGGAAACGTGAAGACTTTAACAGATAGACCAGTTTGACATTGGGGGTTTACAGCCTAGGCTTAAGTAGAGGGCAAAAACAGAAGAATAAATGTACAGCAAATGCCAAGATCATAGGATTCACTTGTTCTAATAACGAAATGCTAAATACAACATAAAAGTGACTAGAAAGATTAACGAAGGGAATTGAAAAGACGCCCACAAGAAGCAAATACAACCGAACGTTTCGACCAAAGTCCTTATCAGCGTAGTACTAAATACCAACAAAAAGGTGATTGGAAAATTTAACGGAAGACACAACAGAGCTTCAGAAAAAAAAGGTGAACAAACAAAAAAAGGAATAGAATATCTAAGTTACTGCTATAAGATCCTGCTCCGGTGATCAAAACACCCGCTACAGTTTAGAAAATAGTTTCATTCAATTTCTGCGTCCTTAGTCCCGGATGGTTCAATATTGAACACATGATTTTTTAGAAGCTTCCTTATTAATTAGTCTATTGACCCTCGTGGTGCAAATATTTAGTGATTGGTGATAAATTAAACAGATTATGAATTTTGTTGTTGATTCTCACTTGTAATTCTCCACATTTTAAAACTAAATATTATTAAACTAAATTATGAAACATCTTCAGAATAGAAGTTTGTCAAAGTGTACACGTGCAGCTACAGCTTTTTTTCTGGAAAGCATTATGTGGTGTAGCCTGAATCTCTTCTACAGTAGGACTCTCCTAATACTGTTCAAAAGTCAACTTTAATAAAAAAAAAATAATAAAGAAAAGCTTAAACAGAGAGACAGGTGGACACAATACTGACAGCTGTCTGCACCATGTTGACCCGGCTTCGACGCAACATTGTCACCGTAGCGAAGACATCCACATAGCCAGTGTCCTCAGCCTGTCTCATGAGGTTTCTTAACGCAATGAAGGTGCCGGTACGGCCAACTCCTGCGCTGCGTGATTCAGAGAGGTCAATAGTAACAGTAGTGTTATAAACGGACATGTCATAGAGGTAAACAATTAAAATCATGGTGTTACAAATGGATGAGGGAAACCAAGTAAAGTCAAGAGGATCGGGTTTATTGCACTGGTTTTTATTCCGAATGGCTCAGTCTCTCTTCACAGACCGGCTAACCGCCTGCACAAAGCACGAGCTCTGTCGACGATCTCTAAGCATCTCTGTAAAAACTACACGCGTCAAATGAACATATAAATGATATAAAATTCTTTCCTAGTTAGAAATTAGTAATAACTCACTCGATGTTACTTTAAAAAATAAAACATACTAGTTTCATACCTCACTGTATTGTAGAAGTAAATAGTAAACATGCCAGTGTTAAATCTCACCATGTCCCGTTTGGAAACACAGCACAGAAAACTCATCATCTTCACACAGAACATCTGATGGACAACGCATTCTCAGCAAAAACACGTATGGATGACTGTCGATCCTTGGCCGTTCAAAAAACCTCATTTGATTTGATAACCTACATGTCTTTAATGTTTTGTATTTCCTTCTCCATGTTTGATCTGTCTGGTTTTACTGTCATCATATCTTACGTCGTTGTGTTTCTATACTTCCTGTGTGACTTTTTAAGGCAGTACATCATTTTGTCAGTGCTACTTTAATAGACACCTTGTGGTGATTTCCGGCACTTTTTTAGATACCTTGTAAGTACCGCTGTCTTTTCTTCTCTGTGATTTGATTTTGGAGAATGAACGGAAACGAACACTCAAAAAACTGGGAGAGGTAGCCGAAAGGGCCTCTAGCTGGCTTTGGACGCAACGCAACAACGTAGGGGACGGGCCTCGGTGAGCTGGTCCGGGTCTCTAGTGGAAAAGGGTTTCTCACCCTTTGAAAGTCCATCGTGTCCGAATTGTCTGCCAGTGTTCCTCTGCCACCTGCTAACAAAAGTCCAACATGTGTCCGGTAAACCAAACGTAAGCTTGTCGCTCGGTCGTCCAGGCATGCTGACTGCTTTAATTAGGCTGCCGTGGCGACTTCTTATCTCACAGTACCTTCTGCAAACCACCAAGTCGTCTTGTCTCTGGCCGAAAGTAAAACACCATCCGGTAATCCCGTGCAGCAGGGAACCAGCTATGAGCTTCATGAACTCAGGAGGGCCCACCTCCGAATGCGTCTAGGAATCGTGGGCCGAAACGCGTGTCGACGAGGATAATTTCTACTGACGACTGGTAGATCCCTGCTGTACTTGCTCCCTGTGAGTTTATTCCTATTGTACGTGGCTAGCCCACAAGACTACCAGGAAAGACTGGTGACTCTCGGGAAAGTCCTTGTGACACCTATGGAAAGACTGGCCCCCCGGTATCGCCGGGGGGATAAACTGACATCTGGAGACAGATGTCGACTGTGGACCGGGTTGATCACCCCTAACACAGTATAATACCTCCGATTTCGTACAACCACATAGAAATATGCCCCCAGGGCCCTCCGAAAGGGGGGGGGGGAATGAAGGGCCCAATCAAATTGATACTCTCGGTGACGACTATGCTAGCCCCCGGACTCAGATACTCGCCCAACGCCTGGGCTGGCTCTGTACATGTGGGAAAAGCTTCACGGGGTTGCATGGTCTGAGAACGCATGCCGGAAGAATGAAATGCGAGGGTGCTCCACGCAGTAAACGCCGTCGCAAAACTACTACTCCTGTGGTAGTTTCTGAGTCGTCAGGGAACGACGGGCAGGGTGAACCCCACTCGCCCCGAGAGGCCCATGACGTCGACTGCGGAGGAGCACGTTTGAGTATTTCTGAAGAAGTGCGTTCCAGAATCAGGTTTCCACCTGCGAGCGAGAAGGTGGTGTGGTGTAAGTTGGAGGCTACATTATGTGAGGTACTTAAACATGATTTAAACAAGAAGTCGCTAGGCGACAAGCTTACAAAATTTGGTGATGTAATATATGAACACTGCTCCCGTGAGTTCGGGACAGTAGTAAAGGCACAGCCGGGTGCCAAGCAGAATACTAGCAGGAGGCAGAGGGACATTCTGAAGTGTCGGGCAGACAAGAATGCCCTCAGAAAACGGTTCAAAGCCGCTACAGGCAGCGAACGGGAGGGGCTGTATGAAGTTTGGTTGCATTTAAAGAACAAACACAGTGCCCTCTGTCGCGCCGAGCGTTTCTGTAACAACAGACGTAGAACCAAAAGGGAGCGAGAGAAATTCTTTAGGGACCCGTATCAGTTTGCCGGAGGTCTATTCGAGCAACCGAAGTCTAGGACTCTGGTTGTCAGTCAGGAAGAACTTGAGTTACATCTACGCAAGATGTACTCTGACAAAAAGAGGAGAGAGCCTCTCGATGACAATCCAGAGATCCTTAGCGGCCTCAAACAGCCTTCGGTGCCGAAGGTACCATTTAAAATGATACCTCCCCTTTGGTCTGAGGTTGAGGAAGTTGTGAAAAAGGCCAGCGGCAAGTCTGCCCCAGGTCCGAACGGTGTCCCGTACGTTCTTTACAAGCGTTGCCCGAAAATCCTAAAAACGCTTCACGTCTTGTTGAAACAAGCGTGGATCCGTAAACACATATGTCCAGAGTGGTCAAAGGCAAATGGGGTCTACATTCCCAAAGAGCAGGACTCGAAGAGTCTTTCCCAATTCAGGCCCATCTCGCTGTTGAATGTCGAGGGTAAGATATTCTTCTCGGTCATGGCTCGCCGGCTCTCACAGTATCTGATGGCTAACAAGTACATAGATACGAGTGTTCAGAAGGGTGGTATTCCAGGCGTTCCTGGGTGCCTTGAACACGCGACCATAATTTGGGAGGCTATCCAGAGAGCCAAGCATGAGAGAACTCAATTGCACGTGATTTGGTTGGACTTAGCCAACGCCTACGGGGCAGTCCCCCATAGGCTACTGTGGCGAGCCCTTCGCATGTTCCACGTACCGGCACAGGTCAATGATATGATCGGGCAATATTTCTCTAAGTTCGCTTTGCGCTTCTCTACCTCGACGTTTACCACGAGGTGGACTGAGTTGCAGATTGGGATAGCTATGGGGTGTACGATCTCACCTATACTGTGTGTCATGGCAATGCAGATCATGTTAGACGGGGCGGCCGGCTACGGACTGGGCCTTCAAATAGGGGATCACTGGTTGCCGCCACTACGTGCCTTTATGGACGACACGACTGTTATAACGGGCAGCGAGGAGTCTGCCGGCACGATCCTGGAAAGATTGGACGCGGTGGTCCAATGGAGCGGTATGCAGTTCAAACCGCAGAAGTGGAGGAGTCTGTCTATCCTTAAGGGTCGGGTGGTGGCAACCAGTTTTACGGTGGCAAGGAACAAGATCCCTACGGTTCTGGATGAACCGGTGAAGAGCCTCGGTCGCGTTTACGATTCGAAGTTATCTGACAGAGCGGAAGTCCGGCGAATACACGAGTCACTGGCTACAGGCCTGCTCGCGATCGAGCGATGCAGGCTGATCGGGAAATTCAAGGTATGGTGTCTCCAATTCATGTTGATTCCAAAGCTCCTATGGCCACTGTTAGTCTACGAGGTGACGATGACTGCAGTGGAAACCATGGAGAAGAAAATCAACACAGCCTTGAGAAAGTGGATTGGTGCACCGCCTTGTCTGACCGACGTGGCTCTGTATTGTAAGCAGGCTAAGCTGGTACTCCCGTTCAAATCAATAACAGAAGAGTTTAAAGTCGGCAAAGTAAGGCTCGCCATGCTACTGCGCGAGTCTTCAGACCCAAATGTCATCGCTGTCCAGCCCGCTCTAAAGACTGGTACCAACTGGAGAGTCCTCGATGCGATAGAATCTGCGCAGAATGCACTAAAATGAAAGAGATAATGGGATACACTCAAACCGACCGTCGAGGCCTAGGGCACGGGAAGGTCAATTGGTGGTCAAAGGCCTCAGCCAAAGAGCGCCGAGACATGGTAATACAAACGGTGAGGGACAACGAAAACGAGGTTCGGGTCCAGAAAGCAGCCCAGCAGTCGCAGCAGGGCCATTGGGTCAGCCTGGAGAGCGCATTGCCAAGAGTACTCACATGGGGTGAGATCTGGCGGATGACCCCGCTGCGACTGTGCTTTTTCGTTCGTTCGGCGTACGATGTATTACCGTCCGGTGTTAACATGGTTAAATGGTCTGCGACCAACGATCCGACTTGCCCGTTGTGTAAATCAAAGCAAACTCTTGAGCACGTCCTGTCCGCGTGCAGGAAAGCCCTAGGTCAAGGCCGATATACCTGGCGACACAACAAGGTGCTAAAACAGTTAGCAGCCGTTGTCGACCAGGCTAGAATGAGGGCTAACGCCAGAGCCAGTTCTAGCATCGTCCCCATTCGTTTCCTCAAGGCTGGGCAGGTTCCAAAAGGTAAGGTCAACCAAAACGCATTCGCTCCATCTGTGCTAGACTCTGCGAGGGACTGGTTACTGGTGGTTGATCTGCCGGGCCATGAAAAGTACCCCGAGTTGATCCGTAAAACCGGCCTGCGACCGGACATAGTTCTCCATTCTGCGCAAAAATGGCAGCTCATCCTGATCGAGCTGACGGTCCCATATGAGTCGCGTATGGAGGAGAATCACTTGTACAAGCTCGAGAAATACAGTGATTTAGCAGCCGGTCTGAGGAGAAACGAGTCGTACACAGTACGGGTCTTTGCCGTCGAAATGGGAGCGAGAGGCCTCGTTTCCACTTCGCTCTACAATGTGGTTAAAGAACTAGGAATGCGCGGTAATGAACGGAAACGAACACTCAAAAAACTGGGAGAGGTAGCCAAAAGGGCCTCTAGCTGGCTGTGGACGCAACGCAACAACGTAGGGGACGGGCCTCGGTGAGCTGGTCCGGGTCTCTAGTGGAAAAGGGTTTCTCACCCTTTGAAAGTCCATCGTGTCCGAATTGTCTGCCAGTGTTCCTCTGCCACCTGCTAACAAAAGTCCAACATGTGTCCGGTAAACCAAACGTAAGCTTGTCGCTCGGTCGTCCAGGCATGCGGACTGCTTTAATTAGGCTGCCGCGGCGACTTCTTATCTCACAGTACCTTCTGCAAACCACCAAGTCGTCTTGTCTCTGGCCGAAAGTAAAACACCATCCGGTAATCCCGTGCAGCAGGGAACCAGCCCTGAGCTTCGTGAACGCAGGAGGGCCCACCTCCGAATGCGTCTAGGAATCGTGGGCCGAAACGCGTGTCGACTAGGATAATTTCTACTGACGACTGGTAGATTCCTGCTGTACTTGCTCCCTGTGAGTTTATTCCTATTGGAGTGGCGTTACTGTCTCGAAAAGTCAGCTAGAGAAACTGAAGCGCACACAGAGTGATCCTGGGATGTACGAGAGACATCCCGACTGTGCGCATGCGATGTATCCTTGCATTACCGACGTTTGCAGTTAAGCTAAAGGTGCTGCAGGCTAAGTCATACCTCAGAGTAGCTGCAGACAGGGAACACCCTCTGTATGAAGCTTTGGCTGCAGGCAAGGGTCAGAGGCTGAAAAGGGGAAAATCGTGGATGGCTCAAGCAGAAGACACAATAAGACAATATGCATGCTGGAGAACATTGGGCGAGGTGAGGATTGGGTCAGAGTACCAAAGGAAAAGTCTGGCCTGTGTAGGGTTATGATCACATTGGGCACATACCTGCATTGTACAACAAGGAGCCTTACCTGCAGTGTACAACAAGGAGCCTTACCTGCAGTGTACAACAAGGAGCCTTACCTGCAGTGTACAACAAGGAGCCTTACCTGCAGTGTACAACAAGGAGCCTTACCTGCAGTGTACAACAAGGAGCCTTACCTGCAGTGTACAACAAGGAGCCTTACCTGCAGTGTACAACAATGGGCTTGCTAGTCGGGTAGGAAGCCACCCTCTGCTCGAAATCCACCAGTCCCCAGGGAGCAGTGGGGACATCCTTGTCAGGCCATGACGTGAAGTGAAAGTGGGTTATAGTTTGGACCGGTCCACCTTTCTGGGACAACAACATGTTGTTATTAACATATAGTCGTACATTTAATAACTTTTCTGAGACAATACCATGTTGTTATTAACACATAGTCATACATTTAAGAACCTTTCAAAGACAACACTATGTTGTTATTAACATATAGTCATACATTTAAGAACCTTTCTGAGGCAACACCATGTTGCTATTAACATATAGTCGTTCATTTAAGAACCTTTCTAAGACAACACCATGTTGTTATTAACATATAGTCATGAACCTTTCTGAGAACACGCCATGTTGTTATTAACACACATACATTTAAGAACCTTTCTGAGAACACACCATGTTGTTTATAACACACAGTCATACATTTAAGAACCTTTCTGAGAACACACCATGTTGTTTTTAACATATAGTCATACATTAAAGAACCTTTCTGGGACAACACTATGTTGTTATTAACATATAGTCGTACATTTAAGAACCTTTCTGAGACAACACTATGTTGTTATTAACATATAGTCGTACATTTAAGAACCTTTCTGAGACAACACTATGTTGTTATTAACATATAGTCGTACATTTAAGAACCTTTCTGAGACAACACTATGTTGTTATTAACATAGAGTCATACATTTAAGAACCTTTCTGAGACAACACCATGTTATTAACATAGAGTCATACATTTGAGAACCTTTCTGGGACAACACTATGTAAACACTATGTTGTTATTAACATATAGTCATACATTTAAGAACCTTTCTGAGACAACAACATGTTGTTATTAAAATATAGTCATACATTTAAGAACCTTTCTGAGACAACACCATGTTATTAACATATAGTAGTACATTTAAGAACCTTTCTGAGACAACACCATGTTGTTATTAACATATAGTCGTACATTTAAGAACCTTTCTGAGACAACACCATGTTGTTATTAACATATAGTCGTACATTTAAGAACCTTTCTGAGACAACACCATGTTGTTATTAACATATAGTCGTGCATTTAAAAACCTTTCTGAGACAACACCATGTTGTTATTAACATATTGTCATACATTTAAGAACCTTTCTGAGACAACACCATGTTGTTATTAACATATAGTCGTACATTTAAGAACCTTTCTAAGACAACACAATGTTGTTATTAACATATAGTCGTACATTTAAGAACCTTTCTGGGACAACACTATGTTGTTATTAACATAAAGTCATACATTTAAGAACCTTTCTGAGACAACACCATGTTGTTATTAACATTTGGTTGTACATTTAAGAACCTTTCTGAGACAATACCATGTTGTTATTAACATTTAGTCGTACATTTAAGAACCTTTCTGAGACAACACCATGTTTTTATTAACATATAGTCGCACATTTAAGAACCTTTCTAGGACAACACTATGTTGTTATTAACATATAGTCATACATTTAAGAACCTTTCTGAGACTAGACCATGTTGTTATTAACATATAGTCGTACATTTAAGAAACTTTCAAAGACAACACCATGTTGTTATTAACACACAGTCATACATTTAAGAACCTTTCTGAGAACACACCATGTTGTTATTAACACACAGTCATACATTTAAGAACCTTTCTGAGACAAACACCATGTTGTTATTAACATAGAGTCATACATTTAAGAACCTTTCTGAGACAACACCATGTTGTTATTAACATAGAGTCATACATTTAAGAACCTTTCTGGGACAACACTATGTTGTTTTTAACATATAGTCATACATTTAAGAACCTTTCTGAGACAACAACATGTTGTTATTAACATAGAGTCATACATTTAAGAACCTTTCTGAGACAACACCATGTTGTTATTAACATAGAGTCATACATTTAAGAACCTTTCTGAGACAACACCATGTTTGTTTGGAGACAACACTATGTTGTTGTTATTAACATATAGTCATATATTTAAGAACCTTTCTGAGACAACAACATGTTGTTATTAACATATAGTCATACATTTAAGAACCTTTCTGAGACAACAACATGTTGTTATTAACATATAGTCATACATTTTTCTGAGAAGAAAACATGTCTGTACACCCATCATGTTGTTATTAACACATAGTCATACATTTCAGAACATTTCTGGGACAACATGTTGTTATTAACACATAGTCATACATTTCAGAACATTTCTGGGACAACATGTTGTTATTAACACATAGTCATACATTTCAGAACATTTCTGGGACAACATGTTGTTATTAACAGATACATTTCTTTCTGGGACAACATGTTGTTATTAACACATAGTCATACATTTCAGAACATTTCTGGGACAACATGTTGTTATTAACACATAGTCATACATTTAATGAACTTGTTTAGTAGGTTGATGATTGTTTGTTTCATTATTTAAATAAATAAACGGAATTTTGGAGAGAACAAAGCAAAAGTTAATATCCACAAGGCCCCATCAGTAGACTCAACAGTAAATAGTATACAATAATTTTATGTCTAAGAATATGACACTGCAGGCTCAACTACGACATAAGTAAGTAAAGGTCTCTTTTCCACGCCTTTATGCGTATTGGGCACATAGGGCATATATGGCCTCAACTACCACATGCATAAAGTAAATACTGTACAGTCCCCACAGTGTGCCTGTCAGACAGGACCACAAACACTTGAGCACATTCTGTGGACCTGCCGAGAATATTTAACATATCTATAAAGGGACACATGGCCTCTGGAGCAAAGTGTGCAGTATGGGGACACATGCAAGACATGCAGCTGACATGCGAGTTCATAAAAGTCTTGCCAAAGCAAGGAAAAAGAAGAGTTTGAAAAATTCTATTTCATTATTTGTTTCATGGAGTTATACTTTTTTTCAGGTGTAATATTATTTTATAACAGTAAAAACACAATAAAGTAGTGTGATCAAATGAAGCCTGATTGTACGGCTCTATTAGAAATGTTTGAAATAAATATAAGTAAATGCTGGAGAATCAAACACAGCAAGGATTAGAGACCGTGCGGAGCTGCACGAAGTGAGCATGTACAGCAGGAGTCTATCGATCTTCAGTAGGTGGCTTCCCCGTCAACAATTGTTTCGGTCCGTTTATCCCCTAGGCCAGGTGCTCTCACTCTTGCTAATGCCTTACTTACTTACTTAGTCGCTCCTCTTCTACCTTGGGGTGTAGAGGTTTGCCAGAGAGATCGCCAGACGTCTCTATCAGCAGTTTTCTTTCTGGCTTTGTTCCATTCCAGTCCTCTGTCAGTCAGGGACTGTCGGATGTTGTCTTCCCAGCGCACCCTGGGTCGTCCCGGAGGTCTGGTTCCCTGGTTCTTAGCCTCCCATGCTTGCCATGGTGGCCGATTTTCTCCCATTCTGCACACATGTCCAAACCATCGTAACTGTGACTGATCCACTCGGGTTAGTAAGGGCTGGGTATCAAGATCTTAACGTATTGTCTGATTGCGGACTTTGTCCCTTCTTGTCACTTGGACCACCTTTCTCAGGTATCTCATTTCCGAGGCCTGCAGCTGGCTTCTGTGAGCTGTTGTCATTGCCCATGACTCACACCCATAGGTCAGGACTGGTACATAGGTAGAGCGCTAATGCCGCGACCCTTTAATACAGCTTTTCATCTCGTGGTGATCCACAACCATCATATTATTTTCGTTGTTACTTCATAACTTCAGTGAACATGTGGTTTCCGACGGTTTTATGCCACCTATGTGAAAGGCTCGTTGGACCTCCAAAAGAGTCACGATCCATAGGTTGTAACCGCTTTCCTAGACAATTTTGGGTAGGGTTTTTTCGGGGGGGTGGGGGCGACCCAGGTCATCACTCCCGGGCCTAGGACATATTCTGTTAGGCTGATCGGACAATACGTTTATAATCTGTCAACTAGTCTGCAAGGTACTTGATAATGATAGTGTCGATGATGATAACTTGATGATGCATATGATGATAACTTGATGATGTCGATGATGATAACTTGATGATGCCGATGATGATAACTTGATGATGCCGACGATGATAACTTGATGATGTCGATGATGATAACTTGATGATGCCGATGATGATAACTTGATGATAACTTGATGATGCCGATGATAATAACTTGATGATGCCGATGATGATAACTTGATGATGTCAATGATGATAACTTGATGATGTCAATGATGAATGCCTGGGCGGACATATGATGCTTCTTACCGTGGACAATTGTAGAATCCTGATGGTGTAGTCGGCAAACACTTGTGTGGTTGCCAGTTTGACCGTGACCTCTCCAAGTTTGATCTCGCCATCTTCGGGCCAGTATCTCTCACATTTGTGCTGTAACATTGTGTTTAGATGTAGCGTTTAGTTACAATCTTTCATGAAAGTAACAAAACCATGTTTTGTTTTAAACAATATTAGTAACTTAAACTCATTATCCTATTGTGTCGTTAAATGTCACATAGGGTTCGCAGTCTCGTTCTGTCATGTGCGACTACTTCAACCTCATGGAGGTAATCTAGTCCAACAGCCTTCCAACAGCCTTGGTTTCTCTCGTCAACGTTCGTCTTAGGGTTTCTTGTTTGCGTCCTCGAATCCTCAAAGCCTTTATTTCCTACTGTAATGCCTATCTGGTGATTCTCTACTGGTTTTTTTCAGGATGTGTCCTATATAGGGCCATCTTCACTGTCTTATAACTGTTGATACTAGTGGTTGCCCACACATTTTTTTTTTTTTTTTTTCATATTTCTTCACTCCTTTTGAATTCATTCCATTTTATTTTCATCATTGTTTCTCAGACATTTGTTTTCAAATCCATGTAACTTTCTGTGTGTCTTTAGTGGGTCTCCAACTTTCACTTGGTATACAATTTAAAAAACATTAGAACTGAAAATATGTAACTTTGTTTTAAAACTATACAATTTATAGTTCCCTATGTTGTTCACGATATTGAGTTGAGTTGACTTGAGTTGAGTCAAGAATTGACATCACAGCACTTGGAGCATTCCCATGCATGCTCTGTCCTGATCTTCAGAAGCCAGAGCGGAGTTCCAATACTGATGGTACTGGTCGCAATTTGGTTATGTCTGTTTTGCCTTTCCTTTGAGTTTATTGAGCCGGTCAGATCCTCTGGTTACACCCAGATGCCTAATTCTCTCCAGGCCATCATCATCATCATCAGTTCTCGTTATGCCTAGTGGCACATGTGGCTTCAGAGAGGACTTTCCATGCTTTCCTGTCCTGTGCAATCTTCAATGCAGTTTTCCATGTCAAAGATGCCGCACTCAGGTCACTTTCCATCGTTCGTCTCCATGTTGTTTTTGGGCGCCCCTGTTTTCTCTTTCCCTCTGGTGTCCATGTGAGAGCTGTTTTGGCAGGTATATCAGAAGTCATTCTCATAACGTGGCCATTCCATTTTCAACTTCTCTTGGTAATCATACTGTCTAGAGTTTCTTGGTTTGTGGCTTGAAGTAGTTTAGTGTTTGAGATTGTATCTGGCCAGAAAATTGTGATAATTCTACGTAGACATATGTGGTGGAAGGTGGACAGCTTGTGTGCATCCTTTTTGGTCATTCTCCAGCATTCCGCTCCATAAAGAAGAACTGGCAAAATGATGCTCTTGAAGAGTCGGAGTTTCGTTCCTCTGCAGTAATTGTTGGATTTCCAGATTTGCCTCATCCTTCCAAAAGCAGCTCTAGCTTTGTTCAGACGTGACTTTATGTCCTCCTCTGCCCCTCCCAGTAGGGACACCACACTGCCAAGATACGTGAAATGTTCTACATTTTCAAGTGATTGGTTACTTATGGTCACTGGTTGTTGGTTTGGACTGTTTGTCATGATCTTAGTTTTCTTTGTATTTATTCTCAGTCCCACCATTTCTGCTCTGCAGTTTAGTCTGTTATTTTTCTCTTGTATATGTTCATGTTTATGTGATAGGAGTGCTATATCATCTGCAAAATCAAGGTCCTCAAGCATGGTAAATGGAGTCCATCGTATGCCTCTTAATGTCCTGTCTACTGTGTTCTTTAGTATCTAATCAATCACAAGGTTGAAGAGGAGAGATGACATAACACATCCCTGTCTTACACCTGTCTTTACTGGGAAAGATGTATTGTAATTTTTTATACTGCAGGAAGTCTTTATAGAAGAGAGCAATTATGTTGACTATTTTTTCTGGAATTCCATAATAATCTTCTATCTCTGTTGATTCCTTTGCTTGTTCCCAAAGGGCCTTATTCAAGATATTAAAGCTGCTGATGCCTCGCCAGTCAGTGCCTTGGCCTAAATAGGTTTTTTTCAATAACATTTTTCCTTCATTTTGCGTGAGTGACTTAGGGGTTATGAATGAAGTCTGGTAACTTAGACACATCTGGTTTGATCCAACGGCTGTAGACCGCTATACGTTAATCTTGACAACGACATGGAGAGCTGTCCATTCAGAAAAAAAGCAATGGCAAACAACAGAACGTAAATTATTTAGTAAAACCACCAAAAGCTGCCAGTAAATATTGAGGCTGTCCTGTGAGATCGCATTAAATAATGAGCGAATAACTACATTAGGTAATTGTGTCACTTCCCATCGTGCAACCTTTTCGTGATGAGTTATCTCCCTTGAATCTCCCATTAGGTAAAACGAGAAAGACATCATCATCATCATCCTGAATACACATGTGCTTTACAGAACGTCGCTCTCGCCACAGCACGCCTAAAGGTCTCTCCCATCTCTAGCCAATTCTCTAGCCCTATGTGCTTTCATAGGATGGCGTGATGCTGACACATCAGCCACCTAGTGCCGATTGGTCTATAACATACAGGTCTAGCCCCATATGCCTAGTACGCCTTAAAGCGTGGAAACGGGTCCTTTACTTTACTTGTGTGCCTTCACAGTCTATACATCTGCAATTTGCTCTACCCACTTGATCGGAGGTCAACCTCGTTTTCGGGAAACGGTAGCTTCAGTCAGCTTTTTTTTCCAGGCGACCATGACCTTTCACATGGCCAAGATTTCTCAACTATCGGGACAGGATGCTGTGTACGGGCCAGTTCTCTTGGTTCTCACATCATGCAGGACGTCTGTGTTGTTCTTCTTCTGTGTCCGTCGTAGAAGATGCAACTACACTGCCATAATCCGGTCACATATCTGATCCAAGATCCACAAGATGCAACTACACTGCCATAATCCGGTCACATATCTGATCCAGGATCTACAAGATGCAACTACACTGCCATAATCCGGTCACATATCTGATCCAGGATCCACAAGATGCAACTACACTGCCATAATCCGGTCACATATCTGATCCAGGATCCACAAGATGCAACTACACTGCCATAATCCGGTCACATATCTGATCCAGGATCCACAAGATGCAACTACACTGCCATAATCCGGTCACATATCTGATCCAGGATCCAGAAGATGGAATGAGATAGCAACCATAATCTATCAAACTTTCTGTCACGGCACTTGATGAGGACCTTGATTGTGAAACAAACTAACAAAGCTAGAACTGTCTACAACTAGTAACATGATAACAATCATCATTATGTTCCATGCCTTAAAGTACAGATGGTCAGACCCATCATCCCACACGATTTCCCTTCTTATGCGAATTTATGGAGGCAGCCCACCTGACGATCTGACCTGAGCATACGAAACTGAACGTAAAGAAGAAGACAAAGGATCAGTCAATCAAATGATTTGATTTGATTCAAGAACTGACATCACAGCACTCGAGGCATTCCCATAAGCGCTCCGTTCCCATCTTCAGCAGCCAGCGAAGAGTTCCGATACTAACGGTGCTAGTAGCTTTCTGATTAAACGTCCGTCCTGCCTTTCCTCTGAGCCTCGAGCTTCTGCCAGAACCTCTCGTCACCCCCAACTGCATCAATCTCACCAGACTGTGGTGATCCATCTGCTCCTCCGCATTGTACACGCTCTCCCACAAGGCACTAACTACGTCTGCCCTATCATGTAGCAGTATTCCACCAAGTTGTGCAGAGCCAGCCAGTCTGTCCTTCTGTTCATTTCCCAACACTCAGGCGTGACCTGGTGAAAAAATTCAGACAATCAATCAATTAATTAAATAGGTGCCGTCTCCACAATAAAAGTTAGCTGCAGTAGATCTCCAATAGGTTCTGTCTTTCGTCCTGGATGTACACCTTCTCAGACTGTTCTCGTCCATCTTTTTATGAACCCAGATTGTATCGCTGTCTACCTCTTGGAACATGAGTGTGTTGTTGCCCCCTTCTCCCTCCGCCTTGCCATTTGGTGACGTCGTTTAGGTGTTTATCTTTTCACCCTTTTAATCACTTCTCCCCCACCCACTTCTTTTACTTTGCTAATTTCCCTTTCTTGTTTGATAATAAGGTAAAGTAAAGGACCCTTTCCCACGCCTTTAGGCGTATAGGGCATATAGGGCTAGACCTATATTTTTATAGACCAATCGGCACAAGATGGGTGATGTGGTCAGCATCACGCCGACCGCCTTTACTTTCCCGGGACTGCACTCGGTACCCACTCAAGGCTGGGTCGACCTGGGAGCCAATGTCATTATTGAAAACAGTCCGGTTCCGCCAGGGAGCGAACCTACGACCTTCTGATCCTCGGCGAGCGTCTAGCCTCTCGGCCACGGCGGCTCCCCTGTTTGCTAATGGTTATTAGGTTTTCATGTTCTTCCCACAAAACATGACCTAGAAATCTTGTCTGTCTCATATCCTCCTGTCTGTGTCCGGTATATTCTTTTAGTCCTAAGAAACAGCGATGATAATAGGATACCGTGTATCTGAATACATAATCGTGTGGCAGGGCAGACCGGACACTTAGCCATGGCTGGCAGCTGGTCGAGGAAGGAAGCTCTTTGGTGCAGACAGATAGATCACTGCTCTTCTGATCCGGTAGCCTCTACAGCGTGCTTTGTTCCAAAACGTTCTCAAGACACCTTTCCTCTGAGGTTAACAAGACAGGCCGAAAGAGATATCATGCTGCATAGCAAACACATCGACTCCACAACACAGAAGAAACTTCATCGCTAGTCCTAATGTGCATCGCCATGGACTCATTGTCATGCTTTTCTACAGCACAATGGAACACGATCGTGTAGACAAGAGAAAGAGATGCCAAGGGACGAAACCAAAAAATCCACAGATTACCGTTCCTTGCTCCACAAGGTTGGTCAGCATAACCACTTTGTCCACTTGCTGCTCCCACAACATCTGCACGAAATCTCCGAGGATAGCTTTCGTTGGCCCTGTGGAAGTTCGACATAACCTTTTCTAACAACTGACACCATCAACGACACCAAAAACACCAACCCTAGTCAAGTAAAGGTTCATTTGCACGTCTTGAACGCATCGGTCACAGCGTGCTAGACACATTGTATATAAACCTATCAGTGCTCGATTAGTGATGGGCTCAACATCAGGCCGGCCGCCTTGTCCTCCCAAGATATTACCTGTTGGTTTTTTTTTTTTTTTTCTTTTAACTTGGAGCTAAGGTTACTTTGAAGAAAAGTACCTACGTCGATGTGGGTCTGAACCCTTGACTTTCCGACCGACAGATATGCTTTTATGGCAGCTTCATCAGCAAGTATAAAAAAAACATATTTCTCTGCAGTTGATTGACCTGTTCAGTGTTGGTACAAGTTTGTTTTGAGAAACAGTTTACAATATACCTTGGTCTAAGCGGACCACCATCATTAAAAAGTAATTGTAAAGGAGGACACAGAAAAAGAATTATGTAGATTTGTGGGACTCTTGGACATTGTTTTCTTCTTGCCTTCTTCGGGTGTATAGTTTGAAGTTTGGCGTTTCCGAATGCCACCTGCCACATTTGTGAAGCACTCTACTTCACGAGCTGCAATGTCATTCGCGCCATCAATTGCAAGAAATGTGGCATACTTCGGTGACACGGGTCTACGACTGTCCGACAGGTTCAGACATCTTTTGGATGTGCAAAACAGTGCCTTGAAACCACTACCATTGCCCTTTCATTGCCAGGATCACCAAGGTGCCCAGGGTATAAAGGTGACAACAATCAAATCTAGCCACTCCAGCGACAGAGTCTGCAAGTCTTTTGAAAATCGCTCTATTTTCACTTCGGGTACTTTAACACCTAGAGGACTGAACTGCCAACAAAGTTTCATCTCAAATCCTAGGTGATTGAACTGCCCACACAGTTTTATCTAAAAACCCTCTGGTTACGGCCCGTGAAATTCCGTAGGTTTATTTATTCTCCCGTCACACGTACCTCGCCAGTCTAATGACAAAACATCATCCTGACCGCTTCGAGATACTAAACTAAGTGATTTTGTGTAATTGTGTAGTATCGTTTTATTTAGGAATGTGCCGATGAAGGATCCACAATCGCAACGTTCACCTTTGTTTGTGTTCGTTATATTGTAAAGCTTGCTGATATACTTTTCGTTAGGTTTTATATCCTTTTATGATATTTTGGACTAAGAATTTGCCGAGATGTCTTTCGACTGGTTTTATGCCGAATCTTTCAATGTTGGCATAATTTTTTTTTTTTTGAGGATCTCTGGTGGCTCTTGTAGCATTTCCCAGACACCTCATGTCTGTGGATACTTACTTTTGTTTATGAACTATTGACTTTGGCCCTGTTTGCCGGTGTAGCAAAGGGTGGGGGCGATTAGGCGTGCTTTATGTAAAAACAATTATTGTGATTGTGAATGCAAGAAAGAATTTACGTCATTGCGCTCCGGACAACGCCATAAATGCTCAGTATATCCTAATAGAAGCCGAAATGTGCAGACGCCAGTTGTTCTGTTGCAAGCTGGCCAGTAATCACTTCTCGACCCTCTCAGGACTTCAGATTATGTCCTTACGGTCATGGCTCCACTATAACCTTAGAATTGCACGGGATTTCTTGCATTTGTACCTTGGGTATTCTCATCCCAATAATGACTCTTCGGATCACCAAGTGTTAATATCTATATACTCAAGCTGGTGGGTTAGCTGCAGGCAAGAACAGTCCTTGCCTGTGATCAGTCAGACACATTCTGTAAAGATGACTAAAGCACCACAGAGAAGAGAAACGCGTTACTGGTGGCAGTTTTAACGGTGTACGTGTCCGGCTATGTGGCTTAGAGGTAAGTGAATGTGTTTAACAATTTTACAGTCCCAGAGTATTGAGTTTCGATTTCCGCTGAGGATTTATTGAACAATTTAAACTCGTTGTTTCCTAATATGGTACGAGAGTCGCACCCTGGTAGAGATAGGGGCCTCACCAGGTAATATCCCCAAAGACAACGGAGCACTGTATCCAACCCTTAGTGTGGAGACGTCACATATTTAAATTGCTTTAATGGTGCAGTCGGGACACGCCTTCGCTAGTTGTATGTTGACCGAACATACCATTTATATACACCAGACTTGTACATATGTAGCAATTTAAATTCTCGTGGAATCAAAGAGCAATGCACCACACAAACGTTTGGAGAGAAGCCTAAAAGGTAATGTAGAGATTTATAACTGAATGAAAAGCAGATCAGCGAGCTTCACAATATAACAAACACAAACGATTCGTCAAGTTGCGGCTATGAAGCCTTCATCAGCACATACATAAATTAAACAAAACCACATGAAGACACAAAATCACTAAACTAGATACTCTGAAGCAGTGACGTTGATGTCTTGCCAGTGGGATGAAGAGACACGTGTATGAACCGAGAATAAATAGCCGAGGAATGCCAGGGGCTGTAACTCAGGATTTTAGATGAAACTGCGTTGGCGGTTCAGTCCCCTAGTTGTTAATGTGCCCAAGGTGACAATAAAGCGAGAGACTTACAGAATCTGTCGCTGGAGTGGCTAGATTCAATTGCTGTCACCTCCATGTAGTTAACACCTTGGTGATCCTAGCAATTGAAGTGCAACGGCACTGGTTTCATGGCACCGTTCTGCATATCTAAAATATGTTTTCTGAACCTATCAGCCAGTTTCGTCGATGTATATTATGCCACATGTTTTGCAGTTGAAGGCATAAATTGCATGGCGTCTTGTGCAATAGAATGCTTCACGTATGTGTAAGGTGGCATTCGGGAATTCCAGACTTGTTCCCTGAACCACACATGGACCGGTCCTGCATACAGGTCTGTGGCAAGAGACCCTGCTGAGATGGGACTCAGGCGCAGCACCTAACCGACTCTTGTCTAGAATGTCCTTGAGGTTACAGTCATATCTCTGGGCCACTAGAGGAAGTTCAGAGAAACTCGTGCTGCTGGCAGGGTCTGCTAAAAGTTAATGAGCTCGATGATGGTGCCTGTTGTAATGATGATGATGATGTGATGATGACGACGATGATGATGACGACGATGATGATGACGATGATGATGACGACGATGATGACGACGACGATGATGACGATGATGATGACGACGATGATGATGACGACGACTATGCGAGTTTACTATTGAACACGACAGTTTTAAACTTACCTTGTGATGCTATAAACAATTCTTCTCCTTGATAACCCTATCAGTAAATGAGAAATACAGAGACTTTCAATCAGTTTTATATCAAACGACTTACATAATCTGGCAATTAAATAATGAAATTGATTTTACTATGGCCAAGACCAAATTGTTCTCCGTGAAGCAGAGCATGCCGTCCAAACAATCACCACTCATCACTGATATGACAGAATTGTAACGCTACCCGGTCAGCCGACGGCATTTTAAATAGCTAGTAAGAGTTGTCTGGTTACGGTATAGCATAGGGCAAAAGGCGAATATTATGTTTTATCTCTTCAAAACTATTGTGAACACTTTTTTTAAGATGAAGTTAGAGCGGCGCGTCAAATTTCTGGCTTAGATAAACTCACTGCCAAACTGACATATGAAGATCGATGTCTGGCTATGAAGATCAGAGCGAGTGAATTCGATGTTAAATCTGATAAGCATTGATTCTCGTTAACTTGTCTCATCAATTCAACTGTCTCGCGAACATGTTTCATAGTTTAAATAGTAATATTCTAATATCTTCGAGAAAATTTTACCTTAGCAAACAAAACTTTGACATATTTAAGTGAACATCCTACCCCAGTATATAAACAAATTGAAATATTTCAGTATACATTCGACCCCAGTATATAAACAAATTGATATATTTCAGTATACATCATAAGCCAGTATGTAAACAAATTGATATATTTCAGCGTTTATATAATCCGATGTGGCGGGCTGCATGATTTCGAGGCATGTGGTCCGCCTCAAGTGCTGGAGGTCCCTGGTTCAAGCCCCCGGGAAGACTGGGATTTTTTGTAGGTCTGGCGTTCAAGCCCCGGTTGCGATGAACCTTGGCTTACGACGTATCTGCTTTCGCCACGATTCAGCTTTATATGATTACTGCGACAAAGCAACTTGCACTGCTCTAACGTCTAGGATTGATGACACAGATGGCTCTCAGTTCCTTTTTACATTTCTGTCAGTTTATTCTATCACATTCTTTGACACTGTTCCAACAATTATTCAGACATCCACTAATCATCCTCAAGATATTGAAACTACATCTTCTATTCACACAACTGTCTTCTGCGACTTCCGGTGAGCAACTGACCACGAGTCAAGCTTGGGCTTCCCCTTGCCTACTCGACCAGACCCAATTATCTCGTACAGTCACTTGTAGCACCTACTTTCTGCTGGCCACAATGTACCTCATCACACCCGTGTTACCTCATCACACTGGTGATACCTCATCACACTGGTGATATCTCATCACACCGGTAAAGACTGGGATTTTTCCCCTTGGACTTCTAGTAGTCAGATCGGACGCCCATGTGTATTGTTCCCCACTTTAAAAATCCGTTAGCAGTTGCAAATCGAAAAGGATTAGTCTAACCGCGCTGCCGGGGCGGAATTTGGAGTTTAAAATCTACCAAAAGTATTTTAAAATCCTCGCCGTGCTACGGAGTTCGTGTGCTGTGCTGAGAATCTTCGGACTCAGGTTCGAGTCAGAAGTAAAACGAAGCACTTTTTGGGTTACTACCCTTGTGCCATGATGTTGATCCGTTGACTAAACCTAAACCTATAATCCTGTAGAACATCTTATCTCAACATACCAACAACAACAAAACTTCAGTCAACATCTTATCTCAACATACCAACAACAACAAAACTTCAGTCAACATCTTATCTCAACATACCAACAACAACAAAACTTCAGTCAACACCTTATCTCAGCATACCAACAACAACAAAACTTCAGTCAACATCTTATCTCAACATACCAACAACAACAAAACTTCAGTCAACATCTTATCTCAGCATACCAACAACAACAAAACTTCAGTCAACATCTTATTTCAACATACCAACAACAACAAAACTTCAGTCAACACCTTATCTCAACATACCAACAACAACAAAACTTAAGTCAACATCTTATCTCAGCATACCAACAACAACAAAACTTCAGTCAACATCTTATCTCGACATACCAACAACAACAAAACTTCAGTCAACATCTTATCTCAACATACCAACAACAACAAAACTTCAGTCAACATTTTATCTCAGCATACCAACAAAAACAAAACTTCAGTCAACACCTTATCTCAACATACCAACAACAACAAAACTTCAGTCAACACCTTATCTCAACATACCAACAACAACAAAACTTCAGTCAACACCTTATCTCAACATACCAACAACAACAAAACTTCAGTCAACACCTTATCTCAACATACCAACAACAACAAAACTTCAGTCAACACCTTATCTCAACATACCAACAACAACAAAACTTCAGTCAACATCTTATCTCAGCATACCAACCACAACAAAACTTCAGTCAACACCTTGCGTCAACATAAAAGAAAAGGTTTGTATAATCTTGAAGAACATAATAAATTTACATATTGAATTTCAGCGAAAATCGTACCTCAGCGTATCAAGCAGTTATTGAATCCTGGAGAACATAGAAAACATAAATGGATATATTTCAGTGAAGATCTTACCTGAACATATGAAGCGTTGATGTAGTCTCCATGTTTCTTGTGTTTACCAATCTGCAAGTGTACTCTCGAGTGGTCATCTGTGGGGGGAGAAGTACAGCTCTAAATAAATTAGGAATATCTTTTTTGGTTATGTTTGAGTTATTCTCCCCTAACAAAGTAGGTCAAGTTTCATTCATATGTTTGTTAGGCTGGTCTACTTTCTTGCAGGCTACGGGTGTGCCACTCTGTTGTTTGCTTTCTGGATTGTCTTCCATATACGTTTTTATTCCGAGAAAGAGAATGCCTGCAACATAGGTTGCAGCACTTTTTATAGAGGTTGCGTTAGACCCAGTTTGCCCATGTTTTTAAAGTGTTAAAAGCGCTGGCGTACTAAAATATACAACACGCGATATCAACGGCATAGCGGAACATGCCCGTAACCTTGTGCCAAGGATACCTAGCCTAAGGTCTACCAATCAGAAGTGAGCTTGTGTGTATATGGGCGGTACGTGGGAAGACTAACATTAGTTTTAACATTTTCTTTCATTAGAGTTTCTACAGAAGGTGACAAAGTAAAACCGGCAAGCTTGTACGCTTGTACACTGGACATTTGGGTGTGTACGTGCGTATGTACTGCCCCCCCCCCCAGCCCCCCCCCCCCCACCCCCCCCCCCCCCCCCCCCGAATCCCACGTAGTTTTCCTACTTTAGCCTTTTCATACATGTGTCATGCTTAGTTAGTAGCAGATGGATGGCATTGATTGTTTCATAATCACGAACTTAGGCTTTTGACATAATCGTTTTATTCATGTTTTGACATTTCATTTTTCAAGGACAAAATAAGAGCGGCTGATCAAGAAGTTAGAACACCGGGCTTTCTTTCATAAGATCCGCGTTCAAACCTCGAAAAGATGACATAGGTTTGTATAGGGAGCACAAGTAGAAATCCTTACATGCATAGTTTGTGGCGACTGTACTAGCAATGTGGCCACAGTACTCGTCTGCAGCTATCGTACTAGCCTTGCGGCCACTGTACTAGCCTTGTAGCCACTTTACTAACCTTGTGGCCACTGTACTAACCTGTTAGCCAATGCACTATCCTTGTGTCCACAATATTAACCATGTGATACTCTACTAGATATGTGGCCACTGTACTAGCCATGTGGCACTGTACTAGCCATGTGGCACTGTACTAGCCATGTAGCCACGGTACTAGCCATGTAGCCACTGTACTAACCATAGGGCACTGTACTAGCCATGTGGCACTGTACTAGCCATGTAGCCACTGTACTAACCATGTGGCACTGTACAAGCCATATAGCCACTGTACTAGCCATGTAGCCACTGTACTAACCATGTGGCACTGTACTAGTCATGTAGCCACTGTACTAGCCATGTTGCCACTGTACTAATCTTGTAGCCACTGTACTAGCCATGTTGCCACTGTACTAATCTTGTAGCCACTGTACTAGCCATGTGGCCACTGTACTAGCCATGTGGCCATTGTATTAACCATGTGGTGACTGTACTAGTAGTCTTGTGGTGGCTGTAATAACCATGGCTAGTGCAGATAACTGGTAAATCGCTGGTTTCTTGCATTTTTGTTTAACTCAATGCAACGTGTCTTGCAAGTCCAGTGTCCATTTTTCTGTTGAGTTTACCTCTTCTTTTAGTAACCATGTCTTTTATTTATGTTCTTTCCAGAGCATCGCCTTGGGTGATGGTCTTTGCTGATGTATGTCTGTCATCTCAAAACAAGTTGTTTTTTTTTTGAAACAGAATAGGAGGAGGCAGTGTCAACTACTTACATGCACAAATGTTCTTGTATCGGTTCTTGTTCTTGTTCTCACTGCTTTGACCAACTACCATAGTGGCCTCCAGGTTGGCAGGGATCGACTGTACAACACACAGACACAACAATGAGACTATTGTCGCATCAACAGAAACGTGGTTAAAGCGATACTTGCAGAGAAGAAATTATTTCTTCTTTTTCCTCGCGTTTACAACTGTAAACTATAGGGGAAAAGTTCTGGTTGTTAGTCCACTACTGAACTGCAGTCCTATTCCAGGACTTGAGTGTTGCGTGTGCATCCATTTGAAAGATCTTAAGAATTTGTAGGCAGACTGTTGGTTCCTTGCCTCTCAGGCAGATGCATTCAGACTTTGAAGGAAGCAAAAAACATATTTAAAAGCTGTCTTCGCTGCCTGAATTTACAGCTTTTAATGGCGGTGTTACTTCCTGACACAAGAATCCAACAATCCCACAATGTCACACATCAACTAACTGCAATTTTGAAACACCTGGCTATCCTAATAGAGAAAGAAACAGAAATTATAAATACTGTATTCATGCTAACTTTGGGTTATCAGTGTCTGGCTTGGACTTTGAGCAAGAACAGCCAAATGGGATGTGTGAGAAAGGCCGTGAACACAACTAGAACAGATCATGTGAGAAACAAGAAAATCAGATACTGTTAGAACAACACATATAATTAAATTCATTAGAAAACAAAGATTGAAATCGTTAGACTTTTTAACTGAGAATGAATCAGACCGCACAACATAAAAGCAGAAACAGCAACAGCTCGTGGCCACCAATAAGAAAATTGATTGAAGAAGTCCCTGAGGCCTTGATACTGCACAACATCCTAGCGTATTAGGTCACCGAGCTTGCCCTAGCTCGGTTACCAATCATTTGTAAACCGAGGACGCTTAGAGGCACAAAGCAGAATATGTACACAAGCTAAAAGGTCGCCGTATGACGGAGAAGGGTTGAGCGAAAAGGAGGGGATGGGGTTGGGAGCGGAGTTCTTGAGCATGAGATTTAAGCGTTTTAGCCACTTGTCCAGCAGCTCCTGAGTTTAATGAAAGCTGAAAACCACAAACTGGTTCCAGACATGACGCACTAATAATAAAGAATTTTAAAATGGTATGACAAGATGTAGCTACAATTTGCAAAGTTGACGAAAAACATCATGAAGGTAAAACACCATACATGCATGGATGGCTTGGCTATACTTCATAATGAAGACAAGAGCACAGACTTGATCAGAGACTGCATGTCCCGTGAGCTGGCTAATGAAGACTGCCCGCCTCGTATGTGAGGTTGATGTTGATGGTGATGATGACGATGATGATAATGATTAATCCCTTCAATCTGCATAGATGTTTGTAGTCTTTAGCTTCGATGAAATAGCATATTTCTCTTAAACTAACTTTCTCGTTCACCCACTTACTGTCTCACTGATTTAACTCACTTTCATTCACACACTTCCCTGATTCATTAACTAATTCATTTGCTGGCTCACTTGTTTCTGTCGTATATACTCAATGAGGGAAGTATCAGAGGAAGGGAACGATGTGTGTATAGTCAATGTGCTACGGGAACATTTAGTATCTACACCTTCAGACATGAGCTGCCGGAGACAGAGCAGCCTTGGGTGTACCCGGTGTGATGTGATGTTGATTCTTAAATCAAGTAAAATTAGTAAATAAGTATATACTCACTCAATTATTTACTGCTTATCTTACTTAGCATTCGTTTATTATTTCTGTAGCTCATTCTCGTTGTCATACACACTCGTTCAGTGGTCCACTCAATGGTTTCTCTCTCTCTCTCTCTCTCTCTCTCTCTCTCTCTCTCTCTCTCTCTATCTATCTATCTATCTATCTATCTATCTCTCTCTCCCTCTCTCTCTCTCTCTCTCTTTCTTTCTCTCTCTTTCTCATTCTCGTTGTCATACACACTTGTTCAGTCGTCCACTCAATGGTCTCTCTCTCTCTCTCTCTCTCTCTCTTTCTCTCTCTCTCTCTCTCTCATTCTCTTTGTCACACACATTCGTTCATTTATCCGCTTAGTGGTTTCGCTCCATCTCTCTGCCTCTCTCTCGCTCTCACATTTTTAACTCTCTCACGCTCACTCATTCGCCCATTCATTTAATCACACACTGCCACTCGTCTACTGAGGATAATGGATGTAAGAGCCCAGGGGAAAAAGGAAACCAATAAATAAACAAGGAACTGAGAATTTTCCAGGTATGATTGGAGCGCCGATCTGCAAGAACCATGCTAAATAAGGATGACGATGATGATAATGATGATGATGACGATGATGATGATGATGAAGTTGATGATGAAAGTGTGTGTGATATTTGCGACAGACAAGGCCAATAGTTACAGCAAACTGTTCTTGAAAGAAACTGTTATCGTGTGTGGACATAAAAACGCCCAGCTCCTTGACTGCAATACGGGTGTAACTGCTAGCTTGAGAAAGTGGAGTAAAGTTGTAATAATCTCCATTGGTGGCTTGTGGCATTACGTGTGTATTCTCACTGTTACCTGGGTGAAAGAACGGTGGAAAAGTGAACATATTTAGTAACAGTTAGAAATATATCCTGTTATTTATGTACAGTGCGTAAGTGCAGAGTTAGAAATATATTCTGTTGTTTATGTACAGTGCGTAAGTGCAGAGTTAGAAATATATCCTGTTGTTTATGTACAGTGCGTAAGTGCAGAGTTAGAAATATATCCTGTTGTTTATGTACAGTGCGTAAGTGCAGAGTTAGAAATATATCCTGTTTGTTTATGTACAGTGCGTAAGTGCAGAGTTAGAAATATATCCTGTTGTTTATGTACAGTGCGTAAGTGCAGAGTTAGAAATATATCCTGTTGTTTATGTACAGTGCGTAAGTGCAGAGTTAGAAATATATCCTGTTGTTTATGTACAGTGCGTAAGTGCAGAGTTAGAAAAATATCCTGTTGTTTATGTACAGTGCGTAAGTGCAGAGTTAGAAATATATCCTGTTGTTTATGTACAGTCCGTAAGTGCAGAGTTAGAAATATATCCTGTTGTTTATGTACAGTGCGTAAGTGCAGAGTTAGAAATGTTGGGAATGAGGAAAGACCTTCCTCGTCCTCTTCTTCAGATCTTCATCTTCTTCTTCCTCTTCCTCCTACATCTCCTCCTCGTCTCCGATATCGTATTTATATTATCATTGTCATCTTTTTCTTCTTCATCATCTTTTTCCTCCTCCTATTCCTTTCTCTTCTTTATCTTGAATATTGTCTTTTTCTTCAAATTATTGTCGCTGCTGCTGCTGTTGTTGTTACTATTTGTGTTCAGTAACCATAACATATGTAACATCTCGCCAGCGAATAATATAAACAACATCAATATAATTTTAAAGAAAATAAGATGAGAGTTAACACATGTTCATTATGCATGCTGGATCTCTCAAAAAGATACATGTATGTGCCATTTTTTTTTTTTTTTAATCTGAACATTTACATAATAGCAATCATCTCATTCATGGTTACAATTAAATGTTGCATGAGAGAGAGAGAGAGAGAGAGAGAGAGAGAGAGAGAGAGAGAGAGAGAGAGAGAGAGAGAGAGAGAGAGAGAGCGAGCGAACTTTATGAGAGAGAGGGAGAGAGAGAGAGAGTTTTAGTAGCTGTACTTTTTCCGTCTCTTCTGTCTTACGTGACGTTGTTACCGGTTTGAAGCCGTGTGTCGTCCGTGTGACTGTTACCGGTTGGAAGCCGTGTGTCGTGGTTCTCGGTATTTGTCGTGCTCATGAACTCTTCATGGTTAAAAAATTCGTTTCCTATTTGTTTTTCCGGGATTCAGCCGCGCCATCTGTTCACCTCTTCCTGTTTTCTCTCTCCTCTATCGTCCAATATGTTCTGCTGTAGAAGTTCTTATCTACAGTTTGGTCTGGCTGCATTCTTACTAGATGGCTAAAGCCCTTCATTCTCAGTTTTTCACAGACACGATCGCGTCCCAACCTTCTCTTTAATGTAGGCATAAGACTGGAGCGAGCCCCTGCAGAATTATTTCTGAATTATGTTTACCAAAATGAGACTCACCAACTTCAGAGATCTTGAACTTGGGTATCTCAGACATCATGACTTCCTGACTGCCTACGACTACATCTATGCTGCTCTTTGCAACAAGCCGACTCACAGAAGTTGAATTCCCACGGCTCCTAGCAATTAAAAGGATCAGTATCATTTTTAGTTTTTATGATCTATACATAAATACATTCTTAGACAGATGCTTAGTATTTAACAACAACCACTGACTGCCCACTGAATGAACGAATCAATCTTTCGAGAACCTACATCACAGCACTGCAGACATTCCTACAGGGGCTTCTTCTCTTTTTGGTGGTTTTAGTAGCGACCTTATTCAACGTCCGCTGTTTGCTGTCCACATTAAGTTTCTTCCACATGACCTGCATACCCTCAATCAATCAGTTCTTTCAGTAAAGGACTGCACTGACAGTCCTCCTGCTCCAGGGACTTGATCTTCAAGAACTTCCCAACCATTCACCTGTCCATTAGCAAGATCGACACCCATAGAGCAGCAGTCAATTTCATCAGCTCATTTCCCCCCCCCCCCCCCCCCCCCACACGCCCGCACATCTTGGGCAGACAGTCCGTGATTTACCCCTGGCCTGGCAGTTCACGCAAATGATGCATACCCTATTGCGCGTAGCAAATCGGTTGCTTTATTCCGAACCATGTTCTATACTGCCAGCAGAACTTCTCAAAGTAGATCCCAACACCACTGCTAGCATTCTAGAACCATTGTTCAAGGATATTTGGGAAAAAGAAGTGCTGCATGATGACTGGACTGAAGGAACAATAGTCTATCTATCTATCTATCTATTGTCTTCTTCACTTTTACCGGGTTGTAGCCCAGTGTCGTGGTTTAAAATATTTGTTTTGTGCCTCTCGCGTGATTTGAGTGACAGTTTTCTGGATCTTCTGGCCGTATTCAGCTACTCCATCTATCCATTTTTTCCTGGGTCTTCCTCTGGCCTTTCTTCCAGATGTTCTACTGTAAAAGGCCTTATAGGTAATCTGATCCGGTTGTATTCTTACTAAATGGCCAAACCACTTAATTCTCTGTCTTTCAATATGTTTCATGCATGCTCTTGTTCCAACTTTGTCTCTAATGCTGACGTTTGTGACTCTGTCTCTTCGTGTATTGTTGGTGAAGGAACAATAGTCAAAATCCCCCAAAAAGGAGACTTAACAGACTGCAATAATTGGAGGGGAATTACTCTACTCTCAGTACCAAGCAAAATATTTTGTAAAATCATCATAATGCGGCTTGAAAAAGGAGTAGATAAATGCCTACGAGTGGAACAAGCAGGATTCAGAAAGGGCAGAGGAACAACTGAGCACATCTTCGCCATACGTAACATTTTAGAACAATGCAACGAATGGCAGAGATGTACATATATTAATTTTGTGGACTTTGAGAAAGCTTTTGACAGCGTCCATAGAGACGGTCTGTGGAAAATTTTACGACATTATGGAATTCCAGAAAATATAGTCAACATAATTGCTCTCTTCTATAAAGACTTTTCCTGCAGTATAAAAAATTACAATACATCTTTCCCAGTAAAGACGGGTGTGAGACAGGAATGTGTTATGTTATCTCTCCTCTTCAACCTTGTGATTGATTGGATACTAAAGAACACAGTAGACCGGACATTAAGAGGCATACGATGGACTCCATTCACAATGCTTGAGGACCTTGATTTTGCAGATGATATAGCACTCCTATCACATAAACATGAACATATACAAGAGAAAAGTAACAGATTAAACTGCACAGCAGAAATGGTGGGACTGAGAATAAATACAAAGAAAACTAAGATCATGACAAACAGTCCAAACCAACAACCAGTGACCATTAGGAATAAACTCACAGGGAGCAAGTACAGCAGGGATCTACCAGTCATCAGTAGAAGTTATCCTCGTCGACAAGTGTTTCGGCCCACGATTCTCCTAGACACTTTCGGAGGTGGGCCCACCTGAGTTCATGAAGCTCAGGGCTGGTACCCTGAGCACGAAATTACATGATGGTGTTTTTCTTTCGGATAGGGACTAGACGACTTGGTGATTTGCAGAAGGTACTGTGAGATAAGAAGTCGTCACGGCAGCCTAATTAAAGCAGTCAGCATACCTGGACGACCGAGCGACAAGCTTACGATCGGTTTACCGGACACATGTTGGACTTTTGTTTACAGGTGGCTGAGAAACACTGGCAGACAATTCGGACACGATGGACTTTCAAAGGGTGAGAAACCCTTTTCCGCTAGACACCCGGACCAGCTCACCGAGGCCCGTCCCCTACGTTGTTTCGCTGCGTCCAAAGCCAGCTCGAGGCCCTTTCGGCTACCTCGCCCAGTTTTTTAAGTGTTCGTTTCCGTTCATTACCGAGCAATCCTAGTTCTTTAACCACATTGTACAGAGAAGTGGAGACGAGACCTCGCGCTCCCACTTCGACGGCAAAGACCGCGTGTTCAAGGCAGCCAGGTACGCCTGGAATACCACCCTTCTGAACACTCGTATCGATGTACTTGTTAGCCATCAGATACTGTGTGAGCCATGATCGAGAAGAATATCTTACCCTCGACATTCAACAGTGAGATGGGCCTGAATTGGGAAAGACTCGAGCCCTGCTCTTTGGGAATGTACACCCCATTCGCCTTTTGCCATTCTGGACATATGTTTTTGCGGATCCACGCTTGTCTCAACAAGACGTGAAGCATTTTTAGGATTTTCGGGCAACGCTTGTAAAGAACGTACGGAACACTAGTCGGCCCTGGGGCAGACTTGCCGCTGGCTTTTTTCACAACTTCCTCAACCTCAGACCAAAGGGGAGGTATCATTTTAAATGGTACCTTCGGCAACTCAGGCTGCTTGAGGCTGCTAAGGATCTCTGGATTGTCATCGAGAGGCTCTCTCCTCTTTTTGTCAGAGTACATCTTGCGTAGATGTGACTCAAGCTCTTCCTGACTGACAACCAGAGTGCCAGACTTCGGTTGCTCGAAAAGACCTCGAGCAAACTGATACGGGTCCTTAAAGAATTTCTCTCGCTCCCTTTTGGTTCTCCGTCTGTTGGCACAGAAACGCTCAGCGCGACAGAGGGCACTGTGTCTGTTCTTTAAATGCAACCAGACTTCATACAGCCCCTCCCGTTCGCTACCTGTAGCGGCTTTGAACCGTTTTCTGGGCGCATTCTTGTCTGCCCGACACTTCAGAATGTCCCTCTGCCTCCTGCTAGTATTCTGCTTGGCACCCGGCTGTGCCTTTTCTACTGTCCTGAACTCACGGGAGCAGTGTTCATATATTACATCACCGAATTTTGTAAGCTTGTCGCCTAACGACTTCTTGTTTAAATCATGCTTAAGTATCTCACACAATGTACTCTTCAACTTACACCACACCACCTTATCGCTCGCAGGTGGAAACCTAATCTTGGAACGCACTTCCTCAGAAATCATCAAACGTGCTCATCCGCAGTCGACGTCATGGGCCTCCCTGGGCGAGTGGGGTTCACCCTGCCCGTCGTTCCCTGACGACTCAGAAACTACCACAGGAGTAGTAGTTTTGCGACGGCGTTTACTGCGTGGAGCACCATCGCATTTCATTCTTCCGGCATGCGTTCTCAGACCATGCAACCCCGTGAAGCTCTTTCCACATGTACAGAGCCAGCCCGGACGTTGGGCAAGTATCTGAGTCCGGGGGCTAGCATTGTCGTCACCGAGAGTATCAATTTGATTGGGCCCTTTATTCCCCCCCCCCTTTCCCCACTTTCGGAGGGCTCTGGAGGCATATTTCTATATGGTTTTGCGAAATCGGAGGTATTATACTGTGTTAGGGGTGATCAACCCGGTCCACAGTCGACATCTGTCTCCAGATGTCAGTTTATCCCCCCGGCGATACCGGGGGCCAGTCTTTCCATAGGTGTCACAATGTCTTTCCCGAGAGTCACCATTCTTTCATGGTAGTCTTGTGGGCTAGCCACGTACAATAGGAATAAACTCACAGGGAGCAAGTACAGCAGGGATCTACCAGTCATCAGTAGAAGTTATCCTCGTCGACAAGTGTTTCGGCCCACGATAAGTAACCAATCACTTGAAAATGTAGAACATTTCACATATCTTGGCAGTGTGGTGTCCCTACTGGGAGGGACAGAGGAAGACATACAGTCACGTCTGAACAAAGCTAGGGCTGCTTTTGGAAGGATGAGGCAAATCTGGAAATCCAACAATTACTGCAGGGGAAGGAAACTCCGACTCTACAAGAGCATCATTTTGCCATTTCTTCTTTATGAAGTGGAATGCTGGAGAATGACCAAAAAGGATGCACACAAGCTGTCCACCTTCCACCACACATGTCTACGTAGAATTATCAAGATTTTCTGGCCAGATACAATCTCAAACACTAAACTACTTCAAGCCACAAACCAAGAAACTTTAGACAGTATGATTACCAAGAGAAGATGGAAATGGCTTGGCCACGTTATGAGAATGACTTCTGATATACCTGCCAAAACAGCTCTCACATGGACACCAGAGGGAAAGAGAAAACAGGGGCGCCCAAAAACAACATGGAGACGAACGATGGAAAGTGACCTGAGTGCGGCATCTTTGACATGGAAAACTGCACTGAAGATTGCACAGGACAGGAAAGCATGGAAAGTCATCTCTGAAGCCTCATGTGCCACTAGGCATAACGAGAACTGATGATGATGATGTTCTATGAGCATGTTATAATACAACACAGTACCACCCTCTTGTCATCGGAAAGCTGCTGTCTCAGCCTATAGCTCCATTCTCATGCTGAATCTCGTTAATTTGTGAACGAGGCTTTCTGTTTTACGCACTGTCCTAATCACTTTTTTTTTTTTTAAACACGTTCATTCTTGCATCTCTCACTATAGAGCCACCTGTTCGTGTGTATAATCACATATGAGCGTAACTTGTCCTTGATAAACTACAGGACACTGATATGCCTGTATCACCAGCTGCCCAAATTAACTATCACTATATACAAGATTGTTTGGTAGGGCGACATCCAGGTCCATGTATGTCACTTCTCTGTCAAGTATTCACTGATACATTTCCCACTATTTCAAATATATTATTATACAGTGCAGACTGCTAAATGCATTTAGAATTTGGCGAATTACTTTTGCGAAAAAATAATTTGTTTATCCAGGCAATTGTTTTTGCTTGAAATCTGATCTTATTTCTGATAAGCAGGACGTTTCTTGGGTACCCGATCAGTTAGCATTATCAGGTCTTCAATGTACGGTCGCCATTCATCCCTTCACTACTGTTATTATTACTATTACGCACTGGCTTGAGCCCACCTGGACAATTAGTAAGGAGGAATAATGACCTCGTCTCCCGCACATCAGTATTTTCTTTATTTTATCCCGTATGAGCCATCGAGGTTTCGAACAGAACAGATATGATACAGATGCAAAATTTGTATCAATGAGTTCTTACTTCCAACATATGAAGGCGATTAAAGCTGCAACAGCGACCAGGAAAACAGCAATTGCAGCTCCAACCGATGCCCCGACCAATGAGGAATCTTGAGATGAGCCGCTAGATGGCGCTGTATGGGAGTCAACACAAGATCAAGACATTACTTTTTGCTAAACCTACAGTTGTTTCTTTTTCTTCTTCTTCTGTTTCCTCTTCTTCTTTTTCTTCTTCTTCTTCTTATTCTTTTTCTTCTTCTTCTTCTACTTCTTCTTCTTCTTTTGTTCATCTTCTTCTGCTTCTTCTTCTTCATCTTCTTCTTCTTCTTCTTCTTCTTCTTCTTCTTCTTCTTCTTCTTCTTCTTCTTCTTCTTCTTCTTCTTCTTCTTCTTCTTCTTCTTCTTCTTCTACTTCTTCTTCTTCTTCTTTTTCATTTATCGTCTTCTTTTACTTCTTCTTCCTCTTTTTCTTTATCTCTGTGGTACATCTTCCAGGATATTGTGGTATTTAAGATCAATTGTTGGGTAACGTCATGGCTTTTTACAAAGATAGTTAGTTCACAGAAAGAACAACAGAAGAAATGACAGACTGGTTTCCTATCTCATCAGGTGTCCGACAGGGATGTGTCCTCTCACCTAATTGCTATTTATTACTTACATGGATAGAATTGCAGAGGAGACAAATACAGACGCTGAAGAAATCAACTTTCAGTTTCCAATACCCCAGGAAGAACACAATTTACAACACCATATTGACTCTTTATATCAAACCTGCACAAAGACAAAGTCTGGTATGAAACGAAATACTGTGAAAACTAGGGTAATGAGAATAGACAGCAACATAATAAAATAAACGTCCATGTTAATGGTACCAGGAGGAAAGTGAGGGGAATACCAAGAATGAGATGGATACACGGAGTAGCTGAAACCTGCAAAAACAAATCCATCACCCAAGCCACCCGAGAAGTGCAAGACAAATACAGATAACTACGACACTGGGTTACAACATAGTATCAGTGAGACCACAAAAGAAGAAGACTTGAGTCCCCTAGTTGACAGCTGAAAGATATTCATAAAAATAGTGGCGTAAGTAAAGTCGGCCTGTCTGATGTTTACCACATCAGAGATTGTTGTCTCACATCTGATCAAAAAACATCGGAGATTGTTGTCTCACATCTGATCAAGAAACACCAGAGATTGTTGTCTCACATCTGATCAAGAAACACCAGAGATTGTTGTCTCACATCTGATCAAGAAACACCAGAGATAGTTGTCTAACATCTGATCAAGAAACACCAGAGATTGTTGTCTCACATCTGATCAAGAAACACCAGAGATTGTTGTCTAACATCTGATCAAGAAATACCAGAGAATGTTGTCTCACATCTGATCAAGAAACACCAGAGATTGTTGTCTCACATCTGATCAAGAAACATCAGAGATAGTTGTCTAACATCTGATCAAGAAACACCAGAGATTGTTGTCTCACATCTGATCAAGAAATACCAGAGAATATTGTCTCACATCTGATCAAGAAACACCAGAGATTGTTGTCTCACATCTGATCAAGAAACACCAGAGATAGTTGTCTAACATCTGATCAAGAAACACCAGAGATTGTTGTCTCACATCTGATCAAGAAACACCAGAGATTGTTGTCTCACATCTGATCAAGAAACACCAGAGATTGTTGTCTCACATCTGATCAAGAAACACCAGAGATTGTAGTCTCACATCTGATCAAGAAATACCAGATATTGTTGTCTCACATCTGATCAAGAAACACCAGAGATTGTTGTCTCACATCTGATCAAGAAACACCAGAGATTGTTGTCTCACATCTGATCAAGAAACCCCAGAGATTTTGTCCTCACATTTGACCAAGAAACACCAGAGATTGCTTTCTCACATCTGAGCAAGAAACACCACAGATTTTTGTCTCACATCTGATCAAGAAACACTAGAGATTGTTTTCTCACATCTGACCAAGAAACACCAGAGATTGTTGTCTCACAATTGATCAAGAAACACCAGAGATTGTTGTCTCACGTCTAATCAAGAAACACTAGAGATAGTTGTCTCACATCTAATCAATAAACACCAGAGATTGTTGTCTCACATCTGGCAACGACAATGAGAGACGCCAAAGACTAGCCACACGTACCAGCTGGACAATGTGATCCCTTATAGTCGTGACGGCATCCCGCCAAACATTTTCCAGACGCGGGCTCACAAAGTTGCCCTCCATCGTCTTTACACATGAGACTGCAGTTGCTGCTACATCCCAAGCCATACAGTTGGTATGGACACGCTGTGTTAAGACATAGGAACATCTTTCAGAATAATTTATTCATTCAAACTCATGTATAATCTTACGACTAGTCGGTACGCGCAGCGAAATCTTTGAAACGTCTAGGCTCATCATCATCATCAAGTAGCAGGTCCTTCGCAGAACGTCGCTCTCATCATGGTCAGCCTGACACAATCTTGGTTTTTCGCCAGCTCTCCCGCCTCATTTACCTTCATACTCAAGGAGTCGCTTATATCCTGTGCCCATCTTCGTCTCGGTCGGCTGCTTGCTCCCCTTCCTGGTACTATGCCTTCTGTTATATTTTTTTCCCAATCCCTCTTGGCGCTCGATATGACCAAAATATTTCAGCTTCCGTGACAGGATGCTGTTTATTAGCCAATCTCCCTTGATGTTCAGATCTAGACTACGAAATGTTAAAAGAATGTCATCTTTTGAAATCCGTTTTCTGTGACTAGTTTGAGCTTCGTCTGGTTTAGAAAGAAATGATTCTTTTTTTTTTTTAACTGGTCCGTTGACACTTTTCCATGTACCTACATACCTTCCCTGTCATCAAATGTTTCTCTGCTGCTTTTTTCCTGATTTTACACACAACAAGGTGATACTTATATACCGTAAAATTTACTGTTGGAATACACTTTGACTAAATTCAGGAAAGCACCTTTTTTTTTCCTGAAGGTGCTTTTTACAATCTTAATTAGGTTCACAATATTCATTCTCTTCCTTGTTTTCCTGCATTAGTTTTTAACAGAGCGGTTGGCACGTCCTATTGTGATTTACAGCTAGGATGTGAAATCTGCATCCTATTTCAGCCAAACCCTAATTAGTCGCTTCTCATGACACACTTGTTAGAGACAGCTGGTCTATTCTTGTTCACATCCAAGATAAGAAATTGAATTTAATTTCTGTTTATAGAGTCTCCTGTTACACTAGTGGTTCCCAACCTTCCTAACGCCACGACCCTTTAATTCAGTTCCTCATGTTGTGGCGACCCCAACAAAAGGTCACGACCCACAGGTTGAGAACCGCTGTGTTAGGGGTCCTGAGATAGTTCGGTCCTGGTAATGATGCAGGCTGCTCACCATGCAAGAGCCAAGGCTGTGACCACTACAACTAACCACCACATTAATCTTACCGTTTTACATGTTTGGCTGTTTACAGTGCCCACAATACTGAAATCAGTTTTACATGTTTGGCTGTTTACAGTGCCCACAATACTGAAATCAGTTTTAGATGTTTGGCTGTTTACAGTGCCCACAATACTGAAATCAGTTTTAGATGTTTGGCTGTTTACAGTGCCCACAATACTGAAATCAGTTTTACATGTTTGGCTGTTTACAGTGCCCACAATACTGAAATCAGTTTTAGATGTTTGGCTGTTTACAGTGCCCACAATACTAAAATCAGTTTTACATGTTTGGCTGTTTACAGTGCCCTCAATACTGAAATCAGTTTTACATGTTTGGCTGTTTACAGTGCCCACAATACTGAAATCAGTTTTACATGTTTGGCTGTTTACAGTGCCCACAATACTGAAATCAGTTTTAGATGATAGATACATTCGAAATTGTAAAAGTCAAATCATGTTGATCTAAAAGATTCAAACTGTCTGACTGAAATATAACCTGGAGTAAGCAACAATCAATCTACGTTTAGATGGTCGAAGTGTTACTGTAAATCAAATGGATGAGATGTCGAAATTATGAGACTGTAGTTACATTAATGAAAGGATGTGAGACTTGATGGGATCTGAAATATGAGATGCTGTCATGAACAAAAGGGAAGTTATATACTGCATCAGTGGAAGCATTAAGAACAGGTCATAAATCAAACTGGGGGAGGGAACAAATCGGCTGAACAATATAAACATTCGCTAGCGGGAAGAAAGAAACAGGAATTACACAGAAGTAGGCGAGATAGAAGAACATTGTGATTCGGACAAAATGTTATTGTTCCCCACTTAACAGCAAAAACAGGAAAGTAAAGACAAGACAGGGGTTCTTTTCCGCAGGGATCCTAGAATATTTCACTAAGACGCAGACAAAGAATATCTGCATAGTGAGTTACATAGCGACAACCTAACTACATGGTTACATACACCTAGACGAATCATGTGCACAGACTACAGATCCTAAATTAAATCAAGCAAATGAATTAAAATCATCACATTAAACAGCTGTTTATTTTACTAAACTGAACACAGAATTAACGTTTACTTCACAAATGATACATTAACAACAACCAACGTGCTCGACCAGAGGCAGAATCTAAAATGCTAATCATCTCCAGCAAACAAGGAAATCTGATAATGACACCATACGCTCAGCGAGATTACCTCAACAATGACAAAAAATAAAAACAGATTTAACATGTACGTTAAGCTTCAATATGCCTCCAGACCAACACATCAGCTTTAGCGACCTGCCATCAAACTATCTCCTAGCGAGGATGCACAATGGAAATCAAATCTAATACCACCTAAGCAACTGAAACGTGCCGTGAAGCCAACCAGGCAACCGGCTTTCCCCTGCAGTCACCCGTACCCACGCTGTCTAGCCCAATGTGCAGAGGCGCGACAGCTGGGTCGGTGTCCTGCTTTCGTAAACCAGACTAAATTAAGGTATCGGCCAAACAAACCAAAATCGAAAAGCTGCTGAACAGCAGTCTTTGTCGTTCTCGAACCTATCACATACATATAAAAACTATTGATGAAAACCTACGGACCTATACACTTTATTAGAGAACTCAGTAAAATCTGCGATGTAATCTAACCACTGAGCATGGTTTCATTGGACAATACATACTTCTTACCTTTTTGTAATGAAATTAATCTAAAGCACAAGGTGGACGAGAGTACTCACGGCTGAGGCAGTCCTTCCCGTGATAGCCTGCGGGACATACTGAAGGGCATCCCCCGGTGCTCACGAAACACTCACCGCTACATTTGCATGTGTGCTCACACTCACGCCCATACTTGCCAGCTGGGCAGACCGTGTCTGTGGAAGTACAAGTTGTGAATTTCTTGTTATAGTTTGTCCCAAATGTCGTGCCAAACTTTAAAGACATCAGTGACTCAGTAACTGTTCAGTGTATATTGTTGAAATTTGGCAAGCTACCTGTTAATAATAATTATGTTATTGTAGGAAAATAATTAGGATGTAAACAAATAATTCGCTTAAATTTAAATTTAGAAAAAAACAGACACGAATTCAAAGTGTACAGTTAGCATTTTTACAGTAAATGGCTTGAGACGAAGATGGCAAAACATCAAATTTCACGTGTTTTTAATTAAGATAATCCGTGCCAGAAACTGAGGCGCACTTAGACTGAATAGCGATGTGGATATGTTATATTCTGCCATAATGCTCGTTGACTGGCTCTTCTTTTTTGAAAGTATCCAGAAGCCATGAGATGTTAACTCTTAGACTCGGTATTATGGATATCGCCACCCTTTGGCCTTGATTCCATGATAGGTACCGGAAATCTGGAAGAAATGTGGCTTTTCTGCCTAACCCGGGCGTGAACCGGACCACAAGGAGTTTGTCCCCCGGTTGCCGCAAAGTCAGGTTTAGCCAACTTCGCTACCGAGCCGGGCTTGAATGGCTCATAAAATGTATATGATTTGTGTCGGTAGCTGGTATTATTTATTAGGGGTACACAAATTACTAGTCCTAAACAAAAATCAAAGAAATTAGCGGCTGTAAGAAAACAAAATCATCTTACAACTGTCAGTTGTGAAATCATAAGGACATGGGAAAGTAAAGACCACCTGCAAAATTTCGTATTTTTCGTAGAGGAGTTTTCGAGATCTTTATAACAGTTTGGGCGCACAATTTTGCAACGGACTATGGTGACTCCAGAAAGTGTGACCATGTTCACACAAAGGATGCATCAGATATATGGAGCTTGACATATATTTATTTTATCGAGCTAAATGCTATCGATGGATCATGTGTTAAACATCACTCCGCCCGCTTTTACTTCCTAAATTGTTCGGGGTGTCGGCTTTGGAGTTTTAGGTCAAACACCCCCTTCCCGCCCCCCCCCCCTTTCCCCGTTTTTCCCCTACCTTTTTTCCTCCCGTTTCTTCCACTTTGAAGCCAAGAACCTCGGGCCGGCCAGCTGTCGTCTAAACAATACCTTACCATGGTTCCCTTTACACCAAAACTTTGAAAACTGTCTGTCGCGACACATTAGTGTGACGAAAGCAGTGAGAAAGTCTGTGGCGCGAACATAATGTATGTGTACGTCCGTTTTACTTAATAGGGTATAGTTTAACCTCTAGTTTACTAGGAGACTGAATTATGTTCAGAAAAAAAAAAAATTTATCTAAAGACTCACCAAAATGTATAATGTGGAAAGCTCTGTTCTACACAGAATACCATAATGTACCCTTCATATATAACTCATTGACAACTGTACATCAGTGCCCTTAAACGGACAACACTGACAGACAACAGAAGTTTTGTTATCACGGAAGCGCAGATAAGTGTTGACAGGTTCTTGAAACATTAAGGGGGCGTCAGTGTTGGATAACCAATGATTTTAAAGATGCCGACACAGAAACAAAAACAAAAGCGGCCCGGGGGGGGGGGGGGGTTAGGGGGGGTTGTATTGTACATTTCCAAGGGCCATAAGGCTCAAATGACTAAACCTTGTTTAAATGGACAATATTATCCTTGTTGCTATTCTTATGTGCTCAATACCTCATAAATATAATAATAGATTTAAAATGACATGGAATGCGAATTTACAGACGAGTACTTAGAAAGAGAACCTCCATATATGGTTCGGCTGGATTGGGGATTCGGGGGTGGGGGGGGGAGGGGAGGGGGGACTTAACCGTTTTGCCATTTTTTATTAGGGAAGGGGTGGATCGGTCCATTGTTTTTTTTTAAACAATTATTTAGGGAAATTTCATTCCCCTTACAAATCTGATGCGGCAGTTCGTGGTTTGTGAGCAGCCAGGTTCTGACGCCGGTGATGTTATTAGCTGACACACACATACACACACACACACACACACACAGGCTATGTTATGTTATGTTATCACAATCGACGTCACTGCATATTGGGCATTCCCATGCGTGCTCAGTCCTCCGATGCAGCAGACACTCCAAAATACTTCTACTAATTTTTACAATGAGAGGCTGGTTATATTGTCTCCTATCTCAGCTACGAAGACGGCAAAGACGAGCTTCATCATGCTTTACTCCCATGTCACGCAATCGTATCAGTGTCAGGGATTCCTCATTATCCACTAGCCCAGTTCGTACAGCGTGGACGATATCTGCTCTGTCCATGCTTTTTCTCAAAATCCTTAGTGCAGTGCTTGCCAGTTGATTCGTTCGCTCATTTCCCGTTACGCCCGCAAGACCCATTGTGTAGATCCAGGTTACGGAGGTTAAGTTTGAATTTCAGATTTCTTTCTACCCATTCAGAGCGCATAGCGCCTGTTGCTATCTTCTGAAGCATGTTCATGGAGTCTGATACAATAACTGTCTGTGTGGCGGTTTGCTCGGATACCCATGCTAAAGCTCTAGAAGCAGCGGCTATTTCCATTGTCATTCTTGAGGTGGTTGTCTGGTAAGCGCCGCTGTCCTTCTGTGTTGCTTCCCCCATTCTTTGCGCTGTGTATGCCCATGCTGACATTGATCCGCGTTTCACGGATCCATCTGTGTAGATGATATCTTCTGGGTCTGAATGCTGATCTATCAGTTCCCTTACTTCTGTGTCTACGGCCGCAGGAATTTGATCCCTGCAGTACCTTCCGAGTGTGATGACAACCTTAGAGATGCCATGCATGTCTACACACACACACACACACACACACACAGAGGGAGAGAGAAACGAAGAGAGAGAGAAAAAGAAATAAAGCGACAAAGAGTAAGAGAGAGAGTAAGAGGGAGAGAGAGAAAGGGAGGGAGAGAAATAGCAAACATACCCCCGTATATCTCAACCTCGCACAAAGTCAGGATAAAGAAAGGTACTGGATCGCTGTAAGTGCCCTGGATCCCAACTCGGGATACTGGTGTGTTGTTGGCGGGAAACATCAGCTGGTAAACCTTCTGGGGCTGCGGGGTTTGGTCTTGGTAGCTGAAGCTTTCATTGTCACGTGACCAGGCCGTCAGGACAAAACCTTGCAGTCGATTGGCGCAGCAGTCTGAGCCCAGAAGACAATATTTACAAACATAACAATGCATATTATTAGTATTATAACAAGAGAATAATAACACGTTATGTGAACATAATCTCCAATAAGGCAATTACTCTGTAACTGGTATTGTACTCTGTAACCAAGACTGTACTCTGTAACTGCGAAACTCTGTAACTAAGAAAGTGTTATGTAACTGATATTGTACTATGTAACTAAGATATACTCTGTAACTGAGACAATGCCCTGTAACTGATCTGTACTCTGTAACGGAGGGGCTTTCCTCTGTGACTGAGATAAATTGCTCTGCAGCCGAAAAAATACTCTGTAACTGAGAGAGTACTCTGTAATTGAGAGAGTACTCTGTAACAGAGAGTACTCTGTAACTGAGAGAGTACTCTGCAACTAAGATATGAAAAGCATTACTATGTCCCACCCATACTGTATGACGTAGATATTCATAGGCTGAAACATGAACTGGAAAGTCGAATTCAGGTCTTTGAATTGTGGAGCTGCGTGAGGAATATGTTGTGTTTCTTACAAACAAGAAAACTATACAGAGGCGTTATAACTAGAGACTGAAAATGAATAGAGAGTTGATGAAAACAGGAGAAGGGAGAAAGACGGGGACACAAGTCTCTTCTTATTTTTCAATAAAATTCATTGACCACCAACCAAACTCTAGCATGTATAGCAAGTAAATGAATACAATCCACACATTATGCCTGATTTGTTTTTATTGGTACCTGGTCCCGTGTTTAAGGATAATGAATGAAAGACATTGACAGCCATCATCGCATTTGGCATCATATCGTCTAGTTCCCCTGTTTATTGCTGTGACGAGAGGACCTACACACAGCGGTAGAATACACGTTTGTCTGCTTCCTTTGTGCTGGCTCCCAGGGACTATGTTCCTCCCTCTGTCCATGGCTTATGTGGTTGGCCCCGCTTTCGATTTTCGCTTGGTCTGTACGAACGCGCTTCGTAATGTCAGGTTAACAGGTTTGATCCCCGCTGTGGGCCTTGCGCCTTGTGTTGGTTTCGACAGTGGTATCAAAAAGGTATCAAGAAAGCAATAGAAAACTACTGGACGTAAATTTGCCTAGAAAAACCATAACAGCCACCAAATAAATGCTGGGATTTTTTTTTTGCAACATCAAGTAAAGGATACGCAGCTAACTTTAAATGTACATCACCGCTCCTTGTGGTTGTGATGTGTGCCGGCATAAACAGGGAGAGACTGCAGTCGAGCTGATTACCATAAATGCTAAATATAACACAAAATGGGACTAGAAAGCTCAAAGGAGGGAATAGAAAAGACGCCACACAAACACAGCCTAACGTTTTGACCACAGCCTTTATCAACTGACTACTAAATACAACACAAACTGTGATTAGAAAACTCAAAGTACAAGACAACGGAGCTAGTAAAAACACTGTGCATAGGAGATACAATGATGATGCCGTTGGCATTACTGAAAAGTCAAGAGATAACTCAACCAATTGATTAATTTTCATCAGTAACTTTAATCCCGCTATTCAGTATACCTCCTTGGTGTTCTAAGTCATGGAGGGATCAATATTCAACACATCTTTATTTAATTGTTTTTATTTAGTTCTTCATTTATTTAACTAATTCATATCTCTACCCCTCTTCACACATTCCTTCTTATTTGTTTCGTTTCGTATTATTTCTATTTATATTCTTACTTGTCCCCTCATCAGGTACTTCTTGGTTTCATGTTATTTGCTCTGTTATCTTGTCCTTAAAATTTTCTAGTCACATTTTGTGCTGTATTTGGTAGTCTGTTGATAAAGACTTTGGTCGAAACGTTCGGTTGTTTTTGTGTGTGTCTTTTCCATTCCCTCTGTTGTGCTTTCTAGTCACATTTTGTGTTTTATTTAGCATGTGTGCTGGCAGTGGAGTTAAATGGCCGAATCATTTCACGCATTGTTTTCTGATATGATTTAGCTCTGCCACTGCCGCAAATCTCATCGTTTTGAGATGTGGCCCTCCTGAACACCATCTCATTTGTTGAACTTTGGTGTCGTCGTAAAATAAACTGCACCAGGGCGCTTTATGACCTTGGTCACGGGATGTAAAATAATAGATGTAAACACTTTAGGCTGCACAATATAGTATCACAAGTGTTAACATCATGTTTTGTAGCAGTGGTAATAGTAGTGGTGGTAATTGTAGTAGTAGTAGTAGTAGTAGTAGTAGTAGTAGTAGTAGTAGTAGTAGTAGTAGCAGTAGTAGTAGTAGTAGTAGTAGTAGTAGTAGTAGTAGTAGTAGTAGTATTAGTAGTAGTAGCATAAGTAGTAGTAGTAGTAGTAGAAGTAGTAGTAGTAGTAGTAGTAGTAGTAGAAGTAGTAGTAGTAGTAGAAGTAGTAGTAGTAGTAGTAGTAGTAGTAGTAAAAGTAGTAGTAGAAGTAGTATTAGAAGTAGTAGTAGTAGTAGTAGTAAAAGTAGTAATAGTAGTAGTAGAAGTAGTAGTAGTAGTAAAAGTAGTAGTAGTAGAAGTTGTAGTAGTAGAAGTAGTAGTAGTAGTAGTAGAAGTAGTAGTAGTAGTAGTAGTAGTAGTAGTAGTAGTAGTAGTAGTAGTAGTAGTAGTAGTAGTAGTAGTAGCAGTAGCAGTAGTAGTAGTAGTAGAAGTAGTAGTAGTAGAAGTAGTAGTAGTAGTAGAAGTAGTAGTAGTAGTAGTAGTAGTAGTAGTAGTAGTAGTAGTAGTAGTAGTAGTAGTAGTAGTAGTAGTAGTAGTAGAAGTAGTAGTAGTAGTAGTAGAAGTAGTAGTAGTAGTAGTAGAAGAAGAAGTAGTAGTAGTAGTAATAGTAGTAGTAGTAGTAGTAGTAGTAGTAGTAGAAGTAGTAGTAGTAGTAGAAGTAGTAGTAGTAGTAGTAGTAGTAGTAGTAGTAGTAGTAGTAGTAGTAGTAGTAGTAGTAGTAGTAGTAGTAGTAGTAGTAGTAGTAGTAGTAGTAGTAGTAGTAGTAGTAGTAGTAGCAACAACAGTAGCTGCAGTACTAGCAGCAGTATTCGTTGTTGTTTTTGTTGTTGTCGGTAGTGTTGTTGCACGTCATCATCGTTAGGGTATGTTGGGATAAACACTGCAAATAAATTTTAAATAAAGGATATTAAAAATAAAGGTTTGCTCTCATTGTTTTAGGTGGATGCTGCCAGGCATTATGGGAAAAGTAGCAGACGGCAACCTGACGTGTCCTCAGACAGCTACAGCAGTGTACTGTAAATGGTTTGAAATGAATGTCTGTCCGTATTCCATAGTTGTGGATTTCAAGTTGTTCGATAGACATGGCCAAGAAGACACTTTTTGGGGGGGGGGGGGGGTGCCTAGTTGACCAGGTTCTTAGTGCACTTGTATTTATGGCGAGGCGCAGACGCCGTCTGGAGGTGACATGTTCAATTCCCGGCCCAGTAACTGTAGCTGTCGATTTTTATGTTGTCTATTGTATTCTTCTATATATCTACTTCTTTCTATGAGTGCCAATCAATACACTTTCTGTTACTTGATTAATTTAGCACTGTACTGTGAAGCTTTTCTTCTTCTATTCTTCTGCCTTTCTAACCCCCAACAGAGCATAGACCCTCAAACAACTCATGCCAGGTGCTCTTTTCTTCGCTATCGTAGGCAGTACTCCCCATATCCTCCACCTCTTTTTAACTTGGCTCTCCAACTCCCTTCTCCATGTGTTTTTTGGGTCTTCGTTTCTTTCTATGCCCCTGTGGGTGCCAGTGCAAAGACATTCTAGTTAAATTATTCTCAGATTTTCTCGGATTGTGTCCTATACAACGCCAGCGTCTTTTCTTCACCTCTTGGACCACTGGAACTTATTTAGTTCTCTTCCAAAGCTCTACATTAGTGACTGTATATTTTGTTATTTAACAAAAACATAATAACAATAACAATTCACTGCTGACCGTCTCTGTTGTAAATCATCACTCTGCTGATCAGCTGCGGCTGTGCGAATGAGATGTTCCATGTAGCATACGGCTGACCAACGTGTGTGTGAGAGCAGCTGTTTCCCACATCATAGTGCCCGTTTCTGTTTCCATCGACTGCCTTGTTTGCGACACCATTATAGAAGAGGCTACTCTGTGAAGCACTTGCCAACAAGGCTACATTTCGTCCTGTGTGGGATGAGATTACAGCATATAGGTAAATGTAATCCTTCGAGGTTGGGGAAATGAAATGGAGACAATACGGCTAGGATAAAAGCCACATCTCAACATAATACACACACACACAGACACACACACACACACACACACACACACACACACACATACACACTCCAAATACTAACGTAGATGAGACATGCTGAAGCAAAGAGACAATCAGACTATTGAAACAAGATTAGTGCAGTTAACTAATTGTTGACACATCCTGACATACAAGGTAGGCGTCAGTAGTGGTATATGTGAACATTCACCAAATAAGTCTTTTTAATAAACTCTCTCAGTCTCCTGTTCTTCCATATCTTGTTATGGCCCTCGCACGTGTACTGTTGTCTACCTCTTTCTTTCTCTCTCTCTCTCTCTCTCTCTCTCTCTCTCTCTCTCTCTCTCTCTCTCTCTCTCTCTCTGTGAATGCATTTCTGCGTCTTTGTCTGTGTGGGTGTCAGTATGTGTTTGTCTGCCTGTTTGTCTGTATTTTTGTGTGTGTGTTTGACTGCGTGTGTGTCTATTTGGCTGTATGTATGTGTCTGCGTATTATGTTTGTGTGTGTCAGTGTGTGAGCACGAATGTGTATATGTCTGCTGTGTGTTTGTGTGTGTTTATATGTAAGTGTTTGTGTGTGTGTGTATTTTTGTCTAAGTGAGTGTGTGTGTGTCTTTGTGGGTGTGATTGTCTGTGGGAGTGTCCGTATGTGCATGTGTGTGTCTCCATGCATGACTGTATGTATGCATGTATTTATGACTGTATGTTTGTATGTATATATGTCTGTCTGTCTGTCTGCCTGCCTGCCTGCCTGCCTGAAACCCTTTGAAAATAA